ACAGATTGAGCTCCTTGAGTCTATCACTATAAGGCATATTTTCCTACGAGCAATTCCTGGACAGTGTCCATGTGGAGACAGCTGAGGTAGCTGTCCCAGGACACAGGACTGCTGATACACCACTGGTGGAGGAGGAGATGGCTCAGGGTGGACACTGGCAGCTGGTTACTTCTGGCAGCAGGCAGTGCTCCACCCCTGCTCCAAACCCTCCCGCTGTGGTAATAGGTAACCGTTATGCTCTTCTTGATACAGGAAAGAAGGCATCACCCCCTACAGTAAAGGAGGAGAAGCCTCGTACCCCTAAGGCTGGGAGGTCTGCTGCCACCACTGCGAATAGGAAACGTAGGGTAGTGGTGGTCGGAGACTCTCTGCTGAGGGGGACGGAGGCGCCCATCTGTCGCCCTGACATTTCATCTCGGGAGGTATGCTGCCTGCCGGGAGCCCGTATCCGAGACGTTACGGAGGCATTGTCGAGGATTATCCAGCCCTCTGACTACTACCCCATGCTACTCATCCATGTGGGCACAAATGATACTGCGCGGTGTGACACTGAGCGGATCAAGAGTGACTACAGGGCTCTGGGAGTACGGGTGAAGGAGTTTGGAGCGCAGGTGGTATTCTCTTCGATTCTTCCTGTCAAAGGTAGGGGCCCGGGCAGAGACAGATGCATCATGGAGGTGAATGCCTGGCTGCGAAGATGGTGTCGCCAGGAGGGCTTTGGCTTCCTAGACCACGGGATGCTATTTGAGGAAGGACTGCTAGGCAGAGATGGTGTTCACCTTTCGAGGAGGGGAAAGACCCTATTTGGACACAGACTGGCTAACCTAGTGAGGAGGGCTTTAAACTAGGTTCGACGGGGACAGGTGAGCAAAGCCCGCAGGTAAGTGGGGAACATGGAGACCTGGGAGATGGGTCGGAGACGAGAGGGAGTGTGGGCTTTATTGGCAGAGAGAAAGGAGGGTCAGGACAAAACCGGGAGGAAAGATCAAACCAGTATCTTAGATGCCTATATACAAATGCGAGAAGTATGGGTAATAAGCAGGAAGAACTGGAAGTGCTAATAAATAAATACAACTATGACATTGTTGGCATCACTGAAACTTGGTGGGATAATACACATGATTGGAATGTTGGTGTGGATGGATACAGCTTGCTCAGGAAGGATAGACAGGGGAAAAAGGGAGGAGGTGTTGCCTTATATATTAAAAATGTACACACTTGGACTGAGGTAGAGATGGACATAGGAGACGGAAGTGTTGAGAGTCTCTGGGTTAGGCTAAAAGGGGTAAAAAACAAGGGTGATGTCATGCTAGGAGTCTACTACAGGCCACCTAACCAGGTGGAAGAGGTGGATGAGGCTTTTTTTAAACAACTAACAAAATCATCCAAAGCCCAAGATTTGGTGGTGATGGGGGACTTCAACTATCCGGATATATGTTGGGAAAATAACACAGCGGGGCACAGACTATCCAACAAATTCTTGGACTGCATTGCAGACAACTTTTTATTTCAGAAGGTTGAAAAAGCTACTAGGGGTGAAGCTGTTCTAGACTTGATTTTAACAAATAGGGAGGAACTCGTTGAGAATTTGAAAGTAGAAGGCAGCTTGGGTGAAAGTGATCATGAAATCATAGAGTTTGCAATTCTAAGGAAGGGTAGAAGGGAGAACAGCAAAATAGAGACAATGGATTTCAGGAAGGCGGATTTTGGTAAGCTCAGAGAGCTGATAGGTAAGGTCCCATGGGAATCAAGACTGAGGGGAAAAACAACTGAGGAGAGCTGGCAGTTTTTCAAAGGGACACTATTAAGGGCCCAAAAGCAAGCTATTCCGCTGGTTAGGAAAGATAGAAAATGTGGCAAAAGACCACCTTGGCTTAACCACGAGATCTTGCATGATCTAAAAAATAAAAAGGAGTCATATAAAAAATGGAAACTAGGACAGATTACAAAGGATGAATATAGGCAAACAACACAGGAATGCAGGGGCAAGATTAGAAAGGCAAAGGCACAAAATGAGCTCAAACTAGCTACGGGAATAAAGGGGAACAAGAAGACTTTTTATCAATACATTAGAAGCAAGAGGAAGACCAAAGACAGGGTAGGCCCACTGCTTAGTGAAGAGGGAGAAACAGTAACAGGAAACTTGGAAATGGCAGAGATGCTTAATGACTTCTTTGTTTCGGTCTTCACCGAGAAGTCTGAAGGAATGCCTATCCTAGTGAATGCTAATGGGAAAGGGGTAGGTTTAGCAGATAAAATAAAAAAAGAACAAGTTAAAAATCACTTAGAAAAGTTAGATGCCTGCAAGTCACCAGGGCCTGATGAAATGCATCCTAGAATACTCAAGGAGCTAATAGAGGAGGTATCTGAGCCTCTAGCTATTATCTTTGGAAAATCATGGGAGACGGGAGAGATTCCAGAAGACTGGAAAAGGGCAAATATAGTGCCCATCTATAAAAAGGGAAATAAAAACAACCCAGGAAACTACAGACCAGTTAGTTTAACTTCTGTGCCAGGGAAGATAATGGAGCAAGTAATTAAGGAAATCATCTGCAAACACTTGGAAGGTGGTAAGGTGATAGGGAACAGCCAGCATGGATTTGTAAAGAACAAATCATGTCAAACCAATCTGATAGCTTTCTTCGATAGGATAACGAGTCTTGTGGATAAGGGAGAAGCTGTGGATGTGGTATACCTAGACTTTAGTAAGGCATTTGATACGGTCTCGCATGATATTCTTATCGACAATCTAGGCAAATACAATTTAGATGGGGCTACTATAAGGTGGGTGCATAACTGGCTGGATAACCGTACTCAGAGAGTTGTTATTAATGGTTCCCAATCCTGCTGGAAAGGCATAACGAGTGGGGTTCCGCAGGGGTCTGTTTTGGGACCGGCTCTGTTCAATATCTTCATTAACGACTTAGATATTGGTATAGAAAGTACGATTATTAAGTTTGCGGATGATACCAAACTGGGAGGGATTGCAACTGCTTTGGAGGACAGGGTCATAATTCAAAATGATCTGGACAAATTGGAGAAATGGTCTGAGTTAAACAGGATGAAGTTTAACAAAGACAAATGCAAAGTGCTCCACTTAGGAAGAAAAAATCAGTTTCACACATACAGAATGGGAAGAGACTGTCTAGGAAGGAGTACGGCAGAAAGGGATCTAGGGGTTATAGTGGACCACAAGCTAAATATGAGTCAACAGTGTGATGCTGTTGCAAAAAAAGCAAACATGATTCTGGGATGTATTAACAGGTGTGTTGTGAGCAAGACACGAGAAGTCATTCTTCCGCTCTACTCTGCTCTGGTTAGGCCTCAGCTGGAGTATTGTGTCCAGTTCTGGGCACCGCATTTCAAGAAAGATGTGGAGAAATTGGAAAGGGTCCAGAGAAGAGCAACAAGAATGATTAAAGGTCTTGAGAACATGACCTATGAAGGAAGGCTGAAAGAATTGGGTTTGTTTAGTTTGGAAAAGAGAAGACTGAGAGGGGACATGATAGCAGTTTTCAGGTATCTAAAAGGGTGTCATAAGGAGGAGGGAGAAAACTTGTTCACCTTAGCCTCTAAGGATAGAACAAGAAGCAATGGGCTTAAACTGCAGCAAGGGAGGTCTAGGTTGGACATTAGGAAAAAGTTCCTAACTGTCAGGGTGGTTAAACACTGGAATAAATTGCCTAGGAAGGTTGTGGAATCTCCATCTCTGGAGATATTTAAGAGTAGGTTAGATAAATGTCTATCAGGGATGGTCTAGACAGTATTTGGTCCTGCCATGCGGGCAGGGGACTGGACTCGATGACCTCTCGAGGTCCCTTCCAGTCCTAGAATCTATGAATCTATATCTTTCAGAAATCTAATCTTGATTAAAAAATTGCCAGTGATGGAGAATACACTTTGTCAATTGTTCCAATAGTTAATCTCCCTCACTGTTTAAAGTTTATGCTTTATTTTCAGTCTGAATTAGTCTAACTTCAACTTTCAGCCACTCAATCTTGTTATACCTTTGTCAGCTAGGGTGAAGAGTCCATTATCAAATATTTGTTCCCTATGTAGGTACCTATCAACTGTAATCAAGTCAACTCTTAACCTTCTCTTTCTTAAGCTAAATAGATTGAGTTCCATGAGTCTATTATTATAAGACATGATTTCTCATCCTTTAATTATTCTCATGTCTCTTCTCTGAACTGTCTCCAATTTATCAACATCCTTCCTGAATTGTGGACTCCAGAACAGGACACAGTATTCCAGGTGTTGATGCCCCAGTGGCAAATACAGAGATTATTTTCTCTCTCTGGTCCTACTCAAGATCCAAATTTATGCATCCAAGGATTGCATTAGCCCTTTTGTCCACAGTATCATACTGGGAGCTCATATTTTGCTGATTATCCACCACGATAGCCATATCTTTTCAGAGTCACTACATCCCAGGATAGAGTCCCTCATCCTGTAAGTATGGCCTGCACTCTTTTTTCTGAGATGTATACTTTTTCATTTAACTATATTAAAATGCATATTGTTTGCTTACGCACAGATTACCAAGTGATCCAAATTGCTCTGTATCAGTTTTACCTTCTTCATCATTTACCATCCCCCTTTCCCTCCCTCACATTTTTCGTGTCATCTGCAAACTTTATCAGTGATTAGTGTGCATTTTCTTTCAGGACATTGATAAAAATGGTAAACAGCATAGGGCCAAGAGCCAATCCCTGTGGGACCCCACTAGAAATATACCACCACGATGATCCCCCCTTTACAATTACATTCTGAGACCTATCAGTTAGCCAGCTTTTAATCCATTTAATGTGTGCCATGTTAATTTTATATCTTTCTTGTTTTTTAATCAAAATGTAATGTGGTACCGAGTCAAATGCCCTGCAGAAGTCTAAGGGAGAGGATGAGTGAGAGAGAGAGAGAGAGAGAGAGAGAGAGAGAGAGAGAGAGAGAGAGAGAGAGAAAGAAAGAAAAGCAGGACCGATGTTTGTCACACTGCTTAATACACTATGGGGAGGCACTCAGATATGATGTTGAGGAAGGCAGTATGTGACAGTACAGCGTAGCAATATTGTCACTCCTAAATACACAGTATTTATCTTGGCAAGTTTTTCATTTATGAAGAAAAAGTTACAAATCATGAGATAAAAACTACTTCTCACACAACTGATACTTATTAATGAGCTCATGTGAAGCTACACATGGAGCAAGGCACAGAGCCCCAAAAGTTTCAGATTTATTGCAAGAAGGTCTTAAAACAAAAGATAAGACAATCCAGTTCAAATGTCGAAAAGTGGTCATTTTAGAACTAATGATTCTCTTTATATCACTCCATTTTTCATCTACCCACTATGAAAAATTCAAATATTAGACAAGATCATTTTATGAATTTTTTGTTGAAGGTTTAAAATTCCTGTTAAGCTTCAGCCTTAACTATGCTGTCACAACCGGCTCCAGCATAATTACAAGTCATAACTAGGCAGAGATAATTTTTTAATAGGCTATCAGACAGTATTGTGATGGGGACCACTTAAGGAGCTAGATAGAGCAAATGAAAAATTCAGCCTGGCAACATGGTTCACTGGAATCAGGTTCCCCAAATGCAGTACAAAAGTACTGCTACTAACTTAAAAAGCATAGGGTGGGATTTATAAAAACACCTGAAAAGCACAAATTCCATTGACCTTCATGTCACTTAGGTACTTTTGTAAAACCCAACCATAGTATTCAACTTTTTGGAAACACTGACTGATCAATAACGGACTCTGGGGTTACTTTATTACAGCAGAACAGAAGGCTAACCTTTCACCTGTAATTTTTTTTTTTTTAAAAAGAGCATATTGCATGATGTGTGACTTCCATTAATGCTGATGGATGTTCTACGTATATATCACAATGCAGCATGTGTGCAGTTACTGACATTACTGGATACATAACAATGGGCTCATACTAATCAAAAGGACAGAATTATGAAAATGTCTCCATGCAGTTTTTGAAAGTCTAGTCATGGTGAAGCAAAGCATTACACAAGATTATATAAAGGGTGGACACAGAGAATCTTCAAACATTAGCACTGCCAGAGTGGTGCTTCTTAATCATCATCCAAAAGTCTTCAACAACACTCCTTGCTGTTGGATACAGGAGGAAATTTGAGCCAAGTTTTCTCACTTGGTAACACATAGCTCTGGTCACTTCACCACCACCCTGGTCTTTAAACTAGTCTATTAACTGAAAACACAGAACTGATCAACTATCTGCCCTATTAGTTAGATGGACTCCAAAACGGAAAGACATACCAGATTACGTATTATGATGCTAACTCAAACACTATTAGTCTAATACTCTTAAAATGAACTGTTCTGTTCTTAATAACCCATCTACTCAGTGACACAGAAAGCTGGAAAGAGACATACGAGGTGTATTTCTCCATTGCACACTTTCGTTCAAGATTGTGTTTATCCACTGCTGACTCTTGTTCCATCTGCACATCCAATGTGTTGCCGGTCTCCTCACCCTGAAGATTACTTCTTTTTGCACGAGGATGGCGGACAACTCCTAAACACACAAATGTACTTCAGTTACTATCAGTATGAAGAGTTATGTTCCAATCTCTCCCCCAGCCTGCTTCTGGCTGCTTGCTGCCGCCATGGCAAATAGTTGGGCAAATGAGTGGGGCAGATGTTTCACTGAAATAGAAATGCTAAGAGAGTCAGGGACACCCTGGACGACTTTCCTTAGGGATCAAACATGCTGCTTTCATAACATAGTCGCTTGTGAGGCTCATGGCCTGGACCTTAAATTCAAACACAAAATTCTATTTAGCACAGGAGAGTGGTGGTGGTACCCATCAGGGAATAGGCTGCACACTGATGCTCTGGGCACAGACACCAGAGGTTAGAGTAGCTCCTTGGAAAATAGACCTGTAATAGTCCTCAAGAGACAGCCAGTTTAGGATTGCTTGAACTCAGTGTGAAGCAGCCATGCTATCTCCCTATCCAATGTGCTCCCTACACTGGGGTGGGGTTGGAAGAATAGTGCAGGATGGACCTGTACCAGTTGAGAGCTCCCCCACATTGTGGGAAATTCTGAGATGGCCAGATCCATTTGGGTTTTGGCCCTTTGTGCTGACAGAACAGCAGGATGGGCCTTGAATGCAGGAGAGCACCTGGCCCATAGGCTCAGTATAAGCTGAAGCCTAACACATAGTTTTGCTGTCTTCCCTCAAGGCTCAAAGCAGACAATTTGTTAAAAACCCTAAAACTTTCTAAAGCATTATGTTGGTGGCACAGTACACAAATCCCCATATTACAGGGAGCCAGATGTAGATTATATCTATGACAGCCTGGTAAACAAATACTACTGCACACTGCCTGAGAGCAGCAGCACAATTATAGAACTGTTTAATTGAGCCAATGTCCATTGTGGCAAAGTTGTCTAATGCCTTCTGAAAAAAACTGCTTCAGTATAAAAGGGAGGATTAAACTGCAAATGAATCATTCTGCTTGGCTGCTTTCAAGTTTCAGAAACAAAAAAAAGTTGCTTTTGGTTTTAGAAGCTTTTGCTCTTTAACCAATTATTGCTATTGCACTACTCTACCTTTATTTAAAAAAAACAAAACAAAAAGACACTCCCCCGTTGCGAAAATACTGTAACCACGTACAACTGTAATACTTATTACTTCGATGAACCTGTGCTTATGGGCTATGTCAGAGTATCTAATGGAAGGTTTAGCAACATGGTTCTCAGAAAAAAGATCTCTGCCTATGCTAGTCAGGGAAATCCTGATAAAATCATGTTGGCAACAAGTATTTTTTTAGCATGATTGGCAAGGACCGAAGTAGGCCCTGTAAGGGGGTGGGCGAGGTGAATAACTTGCCTTGTAACTCTGCTCTGAAGGTATTATCCTGCATGAGTCTCATTCTTGGATCTCAGCTCCATAGCATGAGACTGACAAACACCAAGTCCTAAAGTTTTCTGGTCTCCAAGGGCAGCAGCCAGGAGTGCAACATGCCCTGTACTGTTGATTGTGCTCCATGCTGCACCTTAACCCCTGCCCTTACTTGGAGATTTCCAGTCAGTTTCACATTACCCACACCCCAAATAGTGCCAATCACAAAAATCAATCAAGAAGGTTAATATTTCAAAATCTTAGACAATAAGCTGCAGAACAGACAACAGCCAGATACTTGCTCATAGGGGTTTAGAGACAGTAAGTTAAAGGTGATAAGACCAAATCGGTCTTACTTCATGGCAGAGTGCCAGGGAAGGTGTGAGAAGCATAGGATATAAAGGATGAAGGTGGAAATGACAGAGTGCTGGATCATACCATACCTAATGGAGTATTAAGGCAGACACACTGCAAATCAAACCAAAAGTTTTCTACGTCCTGCATAGTGTTCAAAACATACAAACGTCTCTCAAATGGGCGACTGCTTTGAGCCAAGTTATAGTGAGGGTCACAGATAGTAGTATCAACAATCACTGCATTTCTCTTCGTATAGACGAATACCTGTGAAAAACACAAGGTTTCACACTGGTAAGTAAAATCGCTGAAATGGCTATTTTAGCAGGACACACAACTCCATCTATTCCAAGTGGCCCATACTGGCAACAACCACTTTGCACATTGCACAAAGTTTGTAAGAATTTGGCTCAACGTCTGTGGAGTCTCGTTCCAGAATAATGGTCAGAAATTATCCATGCGACTTCCAATATTTCACTAAAAATTGCACGGTTGCATCTTAGCCCAGAGCCAAATATTTAAGCTCATTGCAAATTTAAAATCTCTTATTTTATCATCATCAGAACAAAGAGTAGAGTAATATTCAAGTTTAAAATAAATTACCTGATCTTTATCTTGGAATTTCTCAGTTGGGCCAAACTGTAGTAGCCCCAGGCAACATAACCTCTGCAGGTTTTCCACCACTGAATAGATGTATCTCCTGCAACATAGTTGGACGTGTTACATTTTGTATTCATGATAAATTAAACATATGTGATACATGTCACTAATTTACACTAAACTGTAAAAACAGGCACGAGCAATAACATCTTTAAACAGACATATTAAGTAGTCATATAACAACTCAAAGGATTTTGGTGTTTCTTAGTGTAGGAAGCAAAATGGTTTCACCAAATCTAAAAAAATGGTTACTTAGTGCATCAATGAAAACCAAACTTGTATTTTTAAGAAGTAAAATCTGCCAAATGTTTGAGTTTAACTGATTAGTAAATAGGGGTGAGGGCTCCAGTTGGTCAGCAGATAATTTCATTATAGTTTGAAAGAGAAGATACCTGGCTGTTGTATCTGGACTGATAGAATTGCATGTACACTGTATTATTGAAGGACCTGGCAATGATCCCCAAGTAAGGTTGCCTAATACTATTAGACCCTGTTGTCAGTTCCTTATAACTTTGGCAAACTAAGCATTCAGGCTGAAATATTTCATGCCAGATGTCTCCTTGAGACTTAATTTTTTGGAAAGTTTCAACAAAAACTGGCTCTTTCCAAGAACAAGGTTAGGGTAAAATACACTGTTTAGACCATGTTTAAAAAAAATCTTACAACTGTTTCATTGATACACTCTAGTGTCTCCAAATGTTGAAGCATGAACCTGAATTTGTCAGAAGGGGCTGCTGGGATCAGAAAGGTGCTTTCTGATGTTTCCATGAAGACCCATCCAAATTTGGCAAGTTATAAGCCTCTGAAAAAAATCACTTTGCATATGCATGGTAGCGATTTGTTTGAGGCTGGCAGTTAAAAATCTCTGAAGATTTCATCTGCTTTGAGCATGCTCTTACTCAGGGCTGCAGGAGCCAAGAAGTACATTCCCTGCAATTGCTCCTCCAAGCTCATGGGGACTGCTATAGTAATGGGGACTACTATGGTGCCAAGCACTAGAATAGAGAGCAGGAACAGTGTCAGTGCTGTTCTCTCAATACTTCCCATGCTGGTGCCCAGGAAGCATGGAGGAGAAAGAGGAAGCTGCCTCCTGGAATGTAGAGGGTGACAAGCAGGGGGACAGGCTGGGTGTGATACGAGCAGATAGGCTGGTTTGGAGCAGAGATGGGGAAAAGAGTAGTAACCATTAGAAGTTAATCTCAAGAATTTAGAACAGAACCCAAATTCCTACGTCTCAGCATTCCTTTGCTGTATAGCAAACTATGACACCCACTGGCAAAGTCTGTCTCCTCTGTCTCATCGTCCTCTGCTGGCTGGGTCACAGAGGATAACAGCCTCCCAGTGCTACCACCAATACATTAGTTCAAATGGAAGTCTGTGCTGTGTAGCTAAAGGTTCCAATCCTGCTGACTCACGTGGTGGGTTGATACAGTCCCACATGATGAAATTTCTGTTCTCTCAAATTGCTTTTTATTAAAATTTAGCAACTTACATTAAAAACATTACGGTTGTAAAATCAAGAACCCAAAATTTAGGAAATTCCAGATTTAAAGTTGCCTGTGCCACTCTGTTCGCTGACACAGCATGGTGGATGAGTTAATTGACAAATCAGGATGTTCTCCTTTGGGAAGAGAGAAGACAGTGCCATAAGGTGAACTGTCCAGGCCAGAGTGCTAGCCAGTTGGCACTGCTCTTTAACTGACCACATGCCCTGAACCATCTGATATTCTGAATGAGCCCAGAACCAATTAGATCAGCACCTGTAGCAATGCTTCCCCTGTCTCCTTGGAGACCTGATTGATGTGAAAAATTTGTTCGTTCTCTGATGACATGGACAAACTTCCCAGATCCCAGTCACTTTACCCGTCTGTTTTTCATCTTTTAGAGCATAAAGTTCTTCTGGGCAAAGAGTTTGCCCAGCGTAGTCTTTGGGAGAACAATCCACAGCCCCACTTCCTCCCCACAGCCACTTAGTTTGACACATCCCACCACCACAGGTACTTGCCTCTTATAAAGAAGCTGCTGTCGGACTGACCTCGGAAGACATCTGATCAGTGTGTGTTTTTTTAGAGGATTGTTTAAAAAATCCTCAAGACCATCCACCTAAAAAAAATTATTTTACGATAAGATTATCAAAATGTGAAAACTGACTGAAATTTTATCAGAACACTTACTAGAGATTAACTAGTCTTCAAAGTATCACACTCAAGTGTGACAATTGCCTTCAGAATTTGTTTTTTTAATAACAAATATCAGGACCAAGAAGGATGTTCAGAGAAGAACCATGAGAATGATTAAAGGATTAGAAACCATACCATATAGTGATAGATTAAGGGAGCTCAATCTATTTAATTTGAGAAAGAGAAGGTTAAGTGGTGATTTGCTTACAGTCTATAAGTACCTACACGGGGAACAAATATTTATAGTGGGCTCTTCAATCTAGCCAGAAAAGGTACAACAAGATCCAGTAGCTGTTTGGAAGTCGAAACTAGATAAATTCAGACTCAAAATTAGTACATTTTTAACAGTGAGAGCAATTAGCCATGGAACAATTTACCCATGGTGGAGGTACCTTTTTCATCACTGACAATTTTTAAACAGAGATTGGATGTTTTTGTAAAAGATCTGCTCTAGGAATTAGTCTGGGGAAACTCTCTGGAATGTGTTATACAGAAGGTCAGGCTAGATCAGGGGTCAGCAACCTTCAGCATGCAGCCCATCAGGGTAATCCGCTGGCGGGCCGCGAGACATTTTGTTTACGTTGACCGTCCACAGGCACAGCCCCCTGCAGCTCCCAGTGGCCACGGTTCGCCATTCCCGGCCAATGGGAGCTGCAGAAAGCCAGGAACGGCGAACTGTGGCCACTGGGAGCTGCCGACCCCAGAGCTAGATAATCACAATGATTCTTTTTGGCCTTGGAATCTATGAATTTCCAGTACATACAAAGTAGCTAATCATTAGTCATGTTAATTCATTTTACCAGGCAAAAGCTGTGTTCTGTGAAGTCTTCAATAAGTCACATGCAAATTATTGTCCTATGAATCAATAGCACTAGAGTGCTGCTCATCTTGGATTGATTATTTTCTTCCGGAATCAAACTGGCAAAAACTGAAGTTAAATTTCTATGGACTACCAGCTGAAATTGATTATATAGTCTTAAGAGCAGATAATGCAGACTAAGCATGTCTGCTTCTTTGTAAAGTACTGTTAATAACACTGGACATTACATCATACAGAATATAAATTGCAAAACGAAAGCACAGTACCTTGTGGCTGACTTGCACTATCTGGATAAATATGGAGAGAGGTAGGCAAAGAAGAATGTCACTAACAAGAGCCCAGCCATACCCAAATTCCCTGTGTACTGGGAGAGGAGGGACGTAGCGCATCCACGAAATATCATCCACATACACTAGAGAAAGGATGCTGGTTTAGAGTCACAGATGGAACAAAATTATTAGTCCTATCTGGGGACCAGTTAAGTATTAGAAATCTGAAACCAGGTCTATGTTTGTAAACAAACATAGGAACTGCAATACAGATTCAAAGCAGCAGTCCACCTTGACTAGCATCCTGTTTCTGCCAGTGTCCAGTACCAGAAGCTTCAGAGGGAGGTGCACTAATCCCTGCCATGGACAATTATGGAATAACCCGCGCATAGGAGAATCTTCTTCCTATACTCAGGCAGTGAGTTGTTGGCTTAATCCAGTCAAAAGCCTGAGGTCCAAACCACCTCCTTTTTTTAGTTCGCAAAAGTACATGTTCTCCATTTCCAATATGTGCCCCACATTTTAATCATGGCTACAGCATCCACAGCTGAAGTCTGAAATTTTCTAAACTATGGCAGTACCAATCCTTTAATGAGGGCCAGTGCCTTAAGTAAGCTTTGAGGAGGTGGTGTTACAAGCAACTGTAACAACATTTCAGCGCATGCTCAGTGAGTAACTGGCATTAAAAGTGGTGAGGATTCCTCCCCCGCCCACCACCCCAAGAATTCCCCCATGTAGACACAGTCCTGGTCTGATAAGGAGCCAGTTCTTACCTGTCTCGTTACACAGATCTACCTCAGACTCCTGTGCAGGGACTTCATGATTCCCCATGCACGTAGTTTCTGGTGCACCCTCCTCCTCATCTCCTGATGCACCTGGATGGGTTTCAGGTACAGCAGTGTTTGTGTCCAGTATCTGTGGGCTGCCTCTTTTCTCACCATCATAGCATGCTTTCTGTTGCTGCCCATTTAAAGGATGTCCGTAAACTAGGTACCAGAGGAAAATGTGGACCATTCTTAACCGAGGCATTTTGGGAAGAAAGCCAAGAGAACGCCCAAGTCCTGGAACTGCGAAGAAAAGAAGATGAACCACTGAATGCAAAGACAAAATAGATTAAAAAGATAAAATGGCTAATTCCCTAAAACTGAGAGAAATTACAAGCTAAATTGATTGGGAGGAAAAATTTAGACACACAAACCTGCATGAAAGTTGGAAGCTGTTTAAGAGGAGTTTATCAGATGGCCAAAAAGCCACAATCACAAATAAGAACTTTGTGTAAAAGCCCATTCCGGTTAAGAGGGGAACAGAAGGACACAATTAGAAATAAAAATGCAATATATAACAAACAAGAAAGGAGAAGATGACAGCAATCAATATAAATCAGAAGTTATGAAGTGTAGAAAATTGATAAGGGAAACTAAAAGACATCAGGGAAAAATTCATGGTTAGCAGGGCCCAGAACAACAAGGAGGAATTTTTAAGTAGATCAGGAACAAAACAAAGGTATTGGCCTACTATTAGACGAAGATGGTAAAATTGTTAATAATGATGCACAAAAGTTCAATAAATATTTCTGTAAAGCATTCAGCAATCCTAACTTTAAGAGTTGTTGCCAGCACTCCCTAGAACTGTTCTACTTCACTGAAGTCTTGTTTTAGTATGCTCTAATGCATATTTTTCTGTACTACTTTATTGTCACACAGTAGTACACAGTGCATGTGAAGCAAAGGCTATAGAAAAAAAACCCTATATTATAGTAAGTGACCAACTGAGCTATAGTTTTAGCATCCCTGTTGGTGATTGTGGATGGAACGGGGTCTTTAATTGCTGATGAAGATCTGGGCATAGCCACCTATGGGAACATTTTTCCAACTGCAGTCACATCACATAGGAACTACTGGAGCACTAGGGGCAACTACATTTCATTGCCAATGGCTTTGGCACACTGAACCTAGGAAGTTCCCACCTGGATTTCATTCTAGGGCACAAATCTGAAGTGTGAGGATCTCTCACACCCTGTATCTGAGAAATGGAAAAGTTTCTCCAGTTGTCTGAATTATTTGACGGATGAGAAGAAGTTAGTTTTACCTGTAACAGGGTGATAATTTTTTAGCTGCATTATGCCCATTTTCTCATCAGTTTTCCTTGCCCGGCCATTATTTTCAGCGTTAGAGGGAGAGGTTCCTTGCATTTCCCCTGATACAGCAGCAGTCTCTTGCCCCAGACTATCTTCTTCTAAATGCTCTTGGGGTGTTGGTGTCTGGGGAACTTTAATCCTATATAAAAATCACACAGCAATATTGGTACATTGGTAAAGTCAAACAGGCACTAATATAATTAATTCTGCAAACAATCACCAGCCAAGGTGACAGTCACTGTTCTGCAAGAAAATCTTCATACAAAACCAAGACTAACTCCTCTCCTTGCAAATCATTACTGAGGAAAAGGGTTTTGCATGTTTGCTCTCACGAGGGAAATAGTGGGGGGTCTCCTGGTGAAGGATGTGGGTCTATTTGCAAAGAACAAAAGGATTTCACTGAATGGACAATGGAGTGGGCTGCACAGAGCCAGGGCTTTGGAGCGGAGCCCGGAGCAGCTCCAGAGCAGTGGAGCTGCAGGTTTTTGCCTGGAGCTGGAGCGGAGCCGGAGCACAGCTCCAAAGCCCTACACAGAACACCATTCCCAAAGCCACCAGGACAAGCCCTTATGACTGATACAAGAGAGAAGTCACTCCAAACACAGGGAGCATCAGCTAGAAGCTTCAAAAGGGGAGAGTGTGCAGGGAGCAACAAGAGGTGCCGCTACCTTAGGCTGTGATTCTCCAAAGGATAGTAACAGTTTCATATATTGTAGGAGACAACAGCTGTAAGTGAGGAATGATTAAGATTGTGAAGTATAACTCCTCCACTGAACAGATATGTGAGCCTGCTATCTAAATGGAATGTGAGTCTCAAATGGGAAAGCAGCACCAGGAATCAGTTCTCCCCACGCAAGGGGTAAGAAATGTTGAGGAGGACACCTCCAGCTGCAGTTGATAGTCTGGGGCACCTCAAGCCTTTGGGTAATGGTGTGTCATGAAAGCTAGCAGGAAGGGCCCCCCTCCTAGTGACATGTATGTGGCAGGAGTGGTCCCCAGGTGATGGGGGAAGAAGTCAGGGGAGATGTCCTTTCCCTACTACTTCTGAATCAGTCAGGAGGCCATCAGGTATTTCATGACCCCCGGGATAGGTGTGTGCGTAGGAAGCAGTGGCTCTCACACGCTGCCACAGGCTGGACTCTGTTTGAATGCATGTGACCAGGGTGGGAAGCAATCAAGAGGCTGTCAAGTATCCTCTTGGCCTGGATTTTGTAAATGTGCAAGAAGCAATCAGGGGGAGGCTGTCTCTGTTCAACAATAGGATACAGGTAACCACTGAGCTAGTGAAGTATATCTGGCATGAGACATTCATAGTTTCGAACAAAAAACCAGAAAGCAGACGTCACATGCCTCTTTACAATAACGTACTCTTTAGACATAAGATCTTTAATTGGGGCCTGTCCCTACGACTTGCTAGAACAAGTGAGGCTGATACCAGCAGACCTGCTGAAAAATCAGAACTGCCAGGCTTACAATGTTAGTCTTTGAGTTAAGGCTTGGGATTCAAGAGATCTGCGTTCTATTTCTGGCTCTATTAGACTTCCTGTGTGAGCTTCAGCAAGTCTCAAATTTCTGTGCCTCAGTTTCTCCAAACAAAGTGAAGCTAATACTTCAAAAAAACTCATCACTGTTTGTGAGTGGCTCAGCTAACCCACCCAGGTGTGTCACAGACAAATGTAGAGATAAATAATCAAACAAGACTCAAGGACACAAGACAGAATAGCCCTATGCATTATATGGTGGCACAACTAAGGAAATGAACAAATAGGATGGAAATTACAGGAATCTCAGACTGCAAATATTGGAGTCACTGAATTGTAGTCAGTACTTGCCTGTTTGCTGTGCTTGAGTTGGAGATCCGGAAGCGCACTTGCTCAATGGCACTTTTTACCAGGGGGTCATTAGGATTCACCGAAGGGTGAACTACAAACTCTACCTGTACAACAAAGTAAAAACAGAAGAGTGTATAGAGGAGATTTACTTATACGGATTCAAAGCAAATAGAAATTAATCACCATACAAAAGCAGTATTATCTGATGCCCTGCACATCCTTTATGTTTTACATTAACGGTTCCCAAGCTGTGATCTTCACATCACTTGTTGATGGTCCATGATCAACTGGCTGGTCATATGGTGCAGTTGTTTTCAGCTGCCTTGTCTGGACTTTTCACTGTAAAGAGCAGCCAGTAAAGGCAGCTGAAGCTAGGCTGAAATCCTGGCCCAGCTGAAGTCAATGCCCAAACTCCCCTGGAATTCAGCAGGAGCAGGATTTGACCCAGGGACAAGGAGCCAACTACATAAGAGGAAGAGAGGAGACAGGAGCTGCCCTCAGACCTGAGCCCCCATGATGCTTGATATCCCAGAGGGAGACGGAGGAACAGAACAAGTAGGTGTGGCCCATATTACATTTGAGAACCATATACATTTAGAAATGTTCCCTAATTTTTTAAGAAAAAAATAAAGACAAAAAAAGCAATTAAAACTGCCTCAACTGTGAAACCTGTATAATTTTTAAAAACATCTTAAATACATATAGGGGAACATAACCATGTAGGGCAGCATAAGGTGTAAATTTTTAACAGTGGGAGTAAATAACCATTGGAACAATTTACCAAGGGTCTTGGTGGATTCTCCATCACTGACAATTTTAAAATCAAGATTCGATGTTTTTCTAAAAGCTCTGCTCTAGAAATTATTTTGTGGAAGCTCTCTGGCCTCTGCTACACAGGAGGTCAGAATAGATGGTCACAATGGTCCCATCTGGCTTTGAATGCTAGTAACAGGCTGAAAAGTGTATGAAAGACTTCAAAAGTCCGTAAGACCAACAAGTTCCTATTAGCACCTTGAGGACTTCTCTCAGGTCAGGCACTTAGATTTCACAAACTTTCTACTGTGCATGCGCAGCAGGTAATTTTCAGTGGATCATTATCAAACAGTAATTTTCACTCATGATTGTGTAAACACCTCCTCACTGAAGACTGTTTACATAGCAAGCACCAGTTTGAGTTGTGTGAAGGAAGTTCCAATCATTATTTCAAATTAAAGAATTTGTTTTTACCTCTATGAAACTCAAGAACAGATGCAGAGATTTTCATAGAATCATAGAATATCAGGGTTGGAAGGGACCTCAGGAGGTCATCTAGTCCAACCTCCTGCTCAAAACAGGACCAATCCCCAACTAATTTTGCTTAAACTTAAAGAACACACACCATTTTGGATGAAGATCAAGCTTGGGAAAATTCAGCCCCAAAGGTTAACTTATGAAGTTTTCACATGCTCTTACTTTCCAAGAGAGGGCTAAAGAGGGGAACTGTTTGACAGTCTGAACTATGCCGAGAGGGAGCAACCAGCCAGTTACCAGAGAAGTGACAATGGGAAGCTCCAAGCACTAATTAGGAGGAGTCTTGGCTTGCTGAGTGTAGTCTCTGGGTAGCTTTTTTTGGGGTAGTACTAATAAAACAAAGTATTTCTACAAGAAAGGCCTGATGGGTGTCGACATTGGAGAATATTTAATATAATATGCTGAGAGATCTACCTGTTATGTCATTTAGTTCTAAATTTAAAAATGGCCAAGAATAGCTTGATAATATGTAGTATAAGCAGCCATTTTTGCTGCCACAGTTCCCAGCAGCAGAGACTCAGAGCAACAAGCTACCTTTTTGCTAATGCCATCTTGAATGACTGTTGTGCGGTAGAGTCTGAGGAGCCCTTCTTGGGAAAGCTTGTGTACCAGTCGAACAATGGACTTCTTACAGCATTTAGTGGAAACACCTTCTTGCTTTTCCTGATCCATGATCATTTTCTGAAGCCTAGAACATGAAACAGCATCTTACACTTCTTAGCAGCAATGACATTTCCATGCTGCTTAAAGCTGCAAAATCTATAGTGAGTTTGTGTTCAAAATTAGTTCTATTTTTAACCTTACACCAAACTGCCGCAGGCCGCTCAACCCACATTTGAAAGCTCCATTTGTCACTGCCTGAAAGGAACATTTAGTCACCAACATCCTCTGGCAAACTTAAATTGTGACGTGTTTAGAAACAGTGGCTGAGATACAGCAACTGCAGTGTGGTATGTGCCTGATGTCATAATGTAGGAAAGATTTTTTTCTGGTTTTAACCCAGTAACTAAACCGAGACTTGAACTTGGCTAGGCTGTGCCATAAGCACAACCCAGCTCTTCTTCTGAGGTTGCCAGAATCTGTTTTCCAGAATCTCAGCTTTCATTTTAAAAAAGGTAAGTTTAATGCTTATGGCCGTGTAGAATAACTTGAAAATGTGAAAGGAGTGTGCACCATGGCAATGATTTCTGGCTGCATCTGCAAACCCCGAAACAATCGCTCAGGGTTGCAAACTGCCTCATACATCTCAATGGGGCGTTAACTCAGCTGTGATAGGATAATTTAAAGGTCATCTATGCTTGGAGGGGTGCTGTATAGGGGGGTCTCCCAAGCCTGGATTGAGTGCACCCTGGGTCTCATTGCTTCTTTCATCAGATATTTACAAAGGCAGAGCTCGTGGGCTTCCCAGGTCTGGGGCAGAAGGATTTGCAGATAGCGCAGTAAGCTGAAATGTGTGCCTCACCCAGGCAGTAAAGGCATTGCCGGTGCTCACTGCTCACAGAGAAGGAGTGCAGTCAGGAAACAGTTTTTTAAGCCCAGAATCCAGGGCATAGTCCCGAACGGGGGTGGGGGGCAGAATACATCCCTGAACGGGGAAGAGAACTAAACTAATTATACTAAAACTGATCTAAACACTAAGAAAAACTATGTGCAAACTATTTACAACTAGGCAGAAGTAAGTCATTCTTAGAAAACAAAGAGCATGAAGGAACAGTGGGTTCCGACTCAGGCTAGGCGGCAGTAAGAGGGAACTGGAGAGGCGTCAACCCACACTACCTCTTACACCCTCAGCTGGGAGCATGAGGAGACACACTACGTATGTGTGGGTCAACTAACATTGCTCAGAAACACTTCCGGACTCAAGCACATGGCGTGCATCCGCACCCACACGTGGAATACTCATAGGGACCATCACTTGAAGAAGCTTATATATGCAATTAGACCTTTTATTGTTTATATGTTTATTGTGTCAGACTTATCCTAAAATAAATGTACTGTGCTTTGACAGAACTCTGTTACTCGTAGCTGCTGGCATACAGCTAATAAACCTCTGAGACAAAGTGAAGTGCAGGGGTTAGACTTTAGTCAGACCTGCTGGGATAAACACAGTGAAGAATAAGGGGGCTGCAAACCTATACCTCTGCTCAGTAGGGAGATGGACTAGAGGCTTTGAGGGCATTCCTTGAGCAGACCATGGAGGGGGTCAAAAGGTGCAGTTATTCTGAAACTGTAAATACCTGCATTCCTACAGTACAGAACATGCTGCCAACAGGAAACCAGGATCAACCACCATGTAATGAAGCGCACAGACTTTTCAAAGCAGTGATTGTGCTACCATAATGCTTCACGCTCCCACTAAACAAGTAAACAGCTTTCAGACCCTGTCTTACGTGAACAAGCTTTCGATTAAGCGGAGGTTTCGGACAGCTTCTACGATGAGATTTCGGCGCTTCAGTAGCCGGTATGTTTCATGAGATCTCTCCACTGCAGTGGTTCTGGAGCGCTTTTCCTTCTTTTGCTCAGCGTTCTTCTAGTGAAGAGCATGGAGAGAGGAAATTCAGTCTGTACAAACTCAAGGAGTTCCTGTCTGCCCCTCTATCACCATAGTATCTGAGTCTCTCTCAACTTTAATGTGTTATCTTCTCAGCATCCTGGTGAGGCAGAGCAGTACTATTTATTCCCATCTTGTAGATGGGAACTGAAGCACAGACTAAGTGACCTGCCCAAGGTCATACAGGGAGTCTGGTGGAGCAGAGAACTGAACCCAGCTTTCCCATGTCTGAAGCTTGTGTCCTAAACAACTGGTCTATCTTCCACCAAACTTCAATAACCATGTCCAAATCATGCATCACCATCAGGTTTTGAACCCTGAACCTTCAGCACCAGATCTCTACCACTCCAACTTCAGGATGACTTTAGGTCTAGCACATGCTAGCTCTTCCTACAAATCTCACTCAGTTTTAGCCCTACGGCATTTGACTATGCTTGTTTCTGAGTGTTTTAGGTAAGTGGCGATCAATGTGCACAGCGACTGAAGAAGAAAGTCTGCTCAGCGTGCAAGCAAGGAGTGGCATTTCCCAAGCCCCCAAAGCTGAAAGACTGACAATGGGGAAGTTCCTATGAATGCAGTTTCATCCTCTCATTCCACTGCCTAAACTTTGAACTGCATGACTCAACTAGGCTGCCAATAACCTTTAAACAGAACCAGGCTGAATGTGTGCAGGGAGATGGGGAAGCAGAGGGACAAAATAACCAATGTGAAGCAAAGGGATTGTAACTGGAAGTCTTGCTATGAAAAGTAGAAAACTGTCACTCAGAGGGTCACCTGCCCAATGTTGCAGGAATTCTCATACTTCAAGCAGCTGTACCAACAAGACAGCAAGTATCAGGCCATAATATCGTACCTTGGGGTCCTCAAGCCTGACCTCCTCAATTACAGCCATATCCCCATCTTCATCTATGGAATGAGTGCCTAGAGAGAGATTAGAGTCCTGCTTTATAGTGTCCAAACTAGAATCCTCCTCTGCAAATCCATCAGGGAGCTCATCGGGATCTTCAAGAAGGCGGGGGGAAGGCAGCTTCTTCATGGCTTGGAACTTGCAGCCTAATTTAAGAACACCGAGAAGTACAGTTAGGCTGGCCACTTCATTGTCCAGTTCCTACAGGTTTTCCCATGGCCCAGCCATTCCCTAGATGACAGGGACCTAGCCCAGGCCTGCAGACAGGTTCGCTTAAAGTGTCTCCTGCTGTACTCTTCAAGCATCTTCTATCCGATAAGGCCATTGCAGGAAACAGGGAGGCTCAGGGAGAGTAAACAGCTATGCTCAGTATTAAAAATTTAAATATTATTTGAGTGAATTCTGGACATTTACATCCTCCAGGTGATGCTCATTTCCCCCCTCCCTGACTGCAGGTAGAAGACTCTCCAGGTAGATTCCTACCTGATAGTAGGGGGGTAGGATTAGCTTGGTCAGCAGCTGCGGCCTGAAGAAAGGGGGGGAGGGGGAGGAGGTTGTCTCCCGCTTCAAAGACTGTCTTGCCTGAGAGGAACCTCCCCTGGAGCATGAAAAGAGCAGGAGTTCACAACATGCACCTCTGCAGCCTTTCCATAAATCTATGGCAGGTCAGGTGACCCCTTCCCACAGCTCAGTGGAGAGATGGATGGGAATGCACAGGGGACTGGGAAGAAGCACCTGTGCCACAGCCCTACACCAGTTTCCCAAGAGTCTAGCAGCCTTAGGCAAGGAAGATGTTCCAACTCCCCAGCCGAAGGAAGAGACTGTGGAATTAGGAATGAATGTGTCACCCCTTGCCCCCCAACAATACAATAAGTTTTGGGGAGAGAACACCAACCACAAACAGGGTGCAGGTAGTGCTGCAGAAGAGACTTTTTTTTTTTTTTTTATTAAACAAACCTGATGTCCTCTCCATTTTCTTCAAAGGAAACCTACATGAGAAAGCCAGACTCCCCAGAGAACCATTCTCTACCTTTAGCTGGCGTTGACTGATGTGGACCATCTCGGAAACTGAATTTCAGCAGTGAATCTGAGTTGGCCTTCACTCCCTTTTCTCGTTTCTTGTTGTATTTCATCTCTTCCTCATTATCTGATTCTGAGAGGAAAGTGTCTTCTTCTACAGGAGACAGATCTTCCTCAGGCAGGGAGTCTTCATGCACTAGAGCCAAGCTAACTGTCGCTAACTGTTCACTCCGGGCCTTCTCCCTCTCAAACTGACGGCTTAAATCACTCTCTTCTGCAAAAACGTGTGAAATATACTTTGTTGTTCGTTGCCGACCTTCATCTTCCATAAATCCCTAAGAGGACTGAAAGTCATTATTTTGGCAAATTCTTCCGTTTCTCCCTCCGTTATCCTTGTCCTCTGACCACCCAGATTCTGAACTCCTCCTCCTCATAGCCCCACCTCCCAAAGCTTTAATCCCTATTCTTAAACAACTAGGCCAGCCACGCTTGCAGCTCATGGAAAACAGAGAAACATTCTGTTTACACAAAAATTCTGTATCCTGCATAGAAAACGATCACATACCACGATATATTTTCTCTTATTCTGTATTAGAGACATCTGAACAAAACCAAGGTATTTGTTTCTTAATCAGTTTGATGCATACTCTTCTAGAATCTTAATTCTCTGTGAAGTTACTGAAATATGGGACTTACAAGGCTGGATCAGACCAGGGGTCCTTTTACTCCATTATCTGGTCTGACAGTGGCCAGAACCAGATGCTTCAAGTGTAGAAAAGCCCAGAACAAACACTTAAGGAATTTCTTCCTACCTCCACCCCAATCAATGAATGGTTGGTTTATGTCCTGAAGCATGTTTATATCCCTTTTATAATCTTATATAAAGTAACTCTAGATATGAATCCTGGGAATATTTTTTTTTTTTAAATCCTACAAATTTCTTGGCCACAATGACACAAAATCTTATTAAAACAACTGCTATACTGAAGGGTTGGAGGGTAGCAAATGTACCTATACTTAAAAAAGGCTCTTGGGGTGATCCAGGCAATTACTGTCCAGTAAGCCTTATATGGTAAACTGGTTAAAATGATAGTTAAAACTAGAACAAGAAAAAACCTGGAAGATCAAGGTATAACAGGGTTTAACACCATAGCTTCCTCAAAGGAAAATAATGTATCACTAATCTCTTAGAATTCTTTGTTACTTTAGTGACATGTTCAGATAAAGGAGAACCAATTGACAATTTATTTAAATTTCAAAAGGCCTTTTGACAAGGTCTCTCAGTAGAAGTTACTAAAGCTTTATCTATGCCGGGGGGTTTACCTTGCACTGAGTTTTTGCGTATTAGAGTGTATGCACTGATTGTGTACACACCGTCAACTGTTTTCTGATCCAATACATGTTACTGTGTCTACACGGGGACTGTGCACCATTATGGGTGAGTACCACATGGTGCTTTGCTTCACTTCTGGGTTCTACACATTCCGGGACTTTTCTCCCTGTGTATTATGGGATACATACTGAAGTCAGCTGGAAAGGATTTGAATTCTGGGGGTCAAACTCAATTTCCATATCTTCTTTCCCACTCTGTCATCTAGGTGAGCCAGTGCCATTTTCAAAAAGCCAGCATTTTCTGTCTCCTATCATGTACGGGTAAATTAAGTATTGGGGCAGCTAACCAGGGACTGGGCAAGGAGGGGCATGGCTTGGGGAATTTGTGTATTGCATCTTGGCAAGTAGGCTTAGGCCTAGATTTTTAAAGGTATTAGGCATGGCTGCACTCAGCGTTGCAACACCTAATTGATTTAGGAGCCTAAATCTCATTTTCAAATCTCATTTTCAACTGTCAATGGAATTTAGGCTCCTAAGTGCCTAAATCCATTTCAGAAATGAGATTTAGGTTACCAAATCAGTCATGTGTTGCAATGCTGAGCACAACAACGCCTAAACACCTTAAAATTCTATGCTGTTGATGTTGAATTAATTTTTCAAATACTGCCTTCACCATTCATTATTTTGCATATGCTATCCCTTATCTGTCTCCCTTCTAAACTACAAGCCTCTTTTTTCACCGGCCATCTTCAAATCCCTTTTATTTTTTCTCTTTTTTGAGAAAAAGTTACCAGTAAGTTATAATTTATTTCCACAATGATGGTAGATGTAACCCTGCCTTTAATCTCATTTTAATCCACAAGACATTACCTTGACAACTTTGTATCTCTCTAGAAGACGACAAAGCATCCGTGCTTCTAGCTTCCCCACATTCATAGCCGACCGAATTTCCGCCTGAGAAATTCCTTTGGTTCCCCTACTTTCAACTGTTTTAGAGAGGGAAAAAAGTTTAAACTTAAGTTTACAGGAATCACCTCATACTGAAACAATCTGGCTGACATGCAGGGGCCATCAGATCCGGCCTGAACAACTGTTGAACATCACTGTCTTAAAAGCTTAAGATTTTCAAACATACATCAGAATGTCTACTTCAACATTTACTACTATAAATCATTTTCACTGGCATACACACATAATACAGTGTTGTACAATAGAATATGCATATCTAAGACTGTAAAAAAGATTTCTACTACATTATATTTGTGAAATAGTATGTGCTAATTTAGTTAAAGAAGACCATAATGCACGTGCACAAGGGTCAGAGTTAAGTCTGCCAGTGCAAATTTGACATGTTAACTTGAGTGGTTAGCTGTGAAAAGAAAAGTTACTATAAGATAAGTAACTGAACTGTGCTTCTCCAAGATGTTCTGTGCATGTGGATCCCACTCATGGTGTGGTAGCACCCCTTGCACAGGAGTTCAGAAACTTCAAAAGCAGGGTCCATTAAGGGGTCATGCATGCACCCTTTATGTCCTTGCGCCCCCTCTCCTGAGGACATAAAGAACAGTGTGACCCTGCTCACTCCCTCAGTTCTTTCTCGCCATCCAGAATCTCAAAGAGTCTCTGAGCTGTGGGTCATGGGATCCACATGCAAAGAACATCTTAAAAAGCCACAGTTACTATAAGTAACCATTCCTCCTTCTTTGAGTTCCTGTGCATGTGGCTCTCTCTCATGGTGATTAACAGGCAATTCAGAGATCGAGGTGATGGGAACTCAGAGCTCATTTGAACAGAGATTGTAGGTCTGCTCTTCCCATTTATGCATCTACTCTGAAATCTGATACCAAAGAATAATGCCTGGATAAAAATATACAATGAAGATCAATTTGCTGCTCCGCAAATTTCAGATATTGGTATCCTACTGAAACACACTGTTGAGGCTGTGTGGGGTATGGCAGAATGAGCAGTTACTCTGGCTGGAGTTTGTTAATAAGGTAGGAAATTTTTATACACTCCATTGTCCATTTTGATAATTTTTGAGAGGAGACTGATTTGCCCTTTGAAGCACTGCCATAAGCAATAAAAAGACAGTTCAGGAAATCACCAAGATGTGTTATATTAAGGTAGTATAAAAACAGGAGAATGCCCATCCTGAGTCAGACCAATGGTCCATCTAGCCCAGTATCCTGTCTTCCAACCGTGGCCAGTGCCAGATGCTTCAGAGGGAATGAAAAGAACAGGGCAATTATCGAGTGATCCACTGCCTGTCATCCAAACCCAGCTCCTGGCAGTTAGAGGCTTAGGGACACTCAGAAAATGGAGCTGCATCCCTGAAAATCTTGGCTATTAGCCATTGATAAACCTATCTTTCATGAACTTAACTAATTCCTTTTTGAACCCAGTTATACCTCTGGCCTTCACAACATCCCTTGGCAACGAGTTCCACAGGCTGTCTGTGCATTGTGTGAAGAAGTACTACCTTATAGTTTGTTTTAACCCTGCTGCCCATTAATTTCAATGGGTGACCCCTTGTTCTTGTGTTATGCGAAGGGGTAAATAACACTTCCTTATTCACTTTCTCCACACCACACTTTAGATTTAAGTTTGAGAACAGATGTAAGGTTGATTTTACTGAGTCTGAGACCTGCTGAGCTGATCTTCTGCGGATTAACCAATCGTTGAGGAATGGGTACACAAATACCCGGATGATGGAGCTGGGCACATACTACAAACAAGCATTTTGTAAACACCAGGAGCAGTGAAGAGGCTGAACAGGAGAACCCTGAATTGATGACTGTGTAGTACTTGGAAATGAAGAAGTTTCTTGATACTGCAACATGAAAAGATGTCTTGCAAATTGAGGGTACTGAACCAGTCCATGAGATCTAATGAATGTGTGATAGATGCCAAAGTCACCATGCAGAATTTTGTATTGATTGAGGTGTTAAGGAACCTGAGGTCCAGTATAGGGAATAAAAACATTTTCCCTGGAAGGGTAGAAGGACTGGCTCTGCTGCTCCCAACTCCAGTAGTGATAGTATTTCTGGACACACGACTCATGTGAGATTGGTTCCTCAAGAGAGACAGGGAGGGTAGTGGTGGGGGAGGGTATGATATGGAATTGGAGGGTGTACCCTTCCTGGATGACCTGTAAGACTCAACAGTCATCAGACTCAACAGACATCATGACTCAACAGTCATCAGACTTTAAAGAAACAGACATCATGACGTCCAGGCATATTTGAAAAAGGAAAGGCAGGTACCAAAAAAGGGAAGAGAAGGGTACAGGATCCACAGTCTAATGCAGAATCCTTAACCGAAGCTTAAAAATTGTTGCTATCCTGTTGGTACTCTAGCCACTTCTCTCCTGCTGAATTACCAACATGGTATCTGTTGCTCCTCATTTTTTACTAAAGCTGAACTGTTCTTGCTCAAGGAAGGATTCCATCATTCTCCTAATCCTAGCAATGAAGATGTATTCCTGTATCTTCATCCCATGTGATAGCAACTTTATTCCTTGATATAGTTTCCTCATTCCTGGATGCTTCCCTTCTCATGTTCTGGGATTAAGATAGACTTGCACCAATCTCCCACACGAACAGAAACTAAAATTGCTAAATGAGAGTACTGTTAATTGCCTAGGTCAGAATATCTCATAGAGGTTTTATCTATATGCACATTTTCTCCCAGTTTGAGAACCCCTGTTGTAAATGTTGCATTCTAGAAGTTAAAGGAATTGTATGACACAAGGAAGATGTTGAAATATATAAACTAGGGTATGTCTTTGAATTATTAAAAGAAATTGCTTAAAAAGGGCAGAAATCCAGTTAATAATGTGGGCTAATACTGAAATACAATCCTTGAAGTTAATCAAACAGAAAAGGCCTCCAATAAGGAAAGAATTGAAGAAATGCATTATACACAGATGCCATCTACTGGATGCCAATGGAAGCAGCAGAGATACACAGCTGAAGTCTGAATGCTTATTTGGCATGTGTCCAACAGAAATCCAGAGGGTGACCCTCTCCAATGGCCCCTGGAATCACGGCATATAAAACTGAGGACCCCACAGCTCATTGAGCGGGGAAAGACTCTTTTCGTCCAGGATCACAGAAGCAAGAGTTGATTGAACCCATGAAGAAGCTGCAGAATCCTAAATGCAACCGATGCCTTGAACAACTGTGTGGAAAGGACTCTTCCCCCCATCCCTGGTTTAAGTGGTGAGATTTCATTTCAAAGATTAGCTTGCTGAGTCTACACCTCAAGTAACTATATCTTAGACCAGTAAGTATTAGTCTTACCGGTTAACCCGCCTTAACTGTTAATCCCGGGCCAGCTGGCCAACACCAGTGGCCCTGCTGCCTGGCCAGAGCAGCGCCACCTGGCTGGAGCAGTGGCCCCAGCCGGCGGGATTGGCCCCTACCGTGCTGGCCAGCAGAATTGGCCTCAGCTGCTTAATCAGTTAACTGTTTAAATGACATTTTTAATCGTTTAAATGGTTAACTTTTTAAATGGTATTTCATCCCTAATGCTGTGCTTTATAAATTCAAGCAAATTGGCCTAAGAGAGATATGAACCATAATTTTAAGCAATTCCTTTTGATATTCTAAACCTGTTTAAAACAAATAAAAGGAAGTATCTCTTCATACAACGGTCAACCTGTGGAACTCCTTGCCAGAGGATGTTGTGAGGCCAAGACCATAACAGGGTTCAAAAAAGAACTAGATAAGTTCATGGAGGATAGGTCCATCAATGGATATTAGCCAGGATGGGCAGGAATGGGGTCCCTAGCCTCTGTTTGCCAGAAACTGGGAATGAGCGACAAGGGATGGATTACTTGATGATTACCTATTCTGTTCATTGCCACTGGGGCATCTGGCACTGGCCACAGTCGGAAGACAGGATACTGGGCTAGATGGACCCTTGGTCTGACCCAGTAAGGCCATTCTTATGTTCTGCTTTGACACCAAACCATTCAAATAGCAGGCAGTTAGAAGTGCCTTACAGACACGTATATTCTTACTCCTCGAAGAAATACTGGAATTGTGATAAGTGTATTAGATACTACACAACTGATGATCACAAGTAAACGTTACAAGAAATTTTGGTGATTTGCATTAAAGTAACTGCTGAGCCTCAACCCTACTCTATGACAACTGCTTGTAAGATTATATTGTTGTGCTCAGTACAGGCCTAAAACACTGGTTTTGTCTACCCTTGATTGATGAACTGTTGATTGTATACTAATGTGGTTCTGGGTGAATTAATACATCATTGATTGGTTAAGAGAAACAAAGTGTACTGATCTGAGAAGTATTGTCCAAGATAAAAGTTGGCCTGAAAAGAACCTGTCATTAAATTAGTAAACTAATGCTTCCTGGACTCAATAAAAAGGGGTTATTAATCTATTAGATTCCATCTAACATTGGCTATAACACTCATCAAGCTGAAATCTAGTTTATTAGATTTCAGTTTTAAAATCTGACTGGTACCCTGGCAAATCATAAAACTGATCCCCATTGACGTTTACACAAGGCTGAGTGCAGGGGAACAAAGCCATTTAATAAGTGACAGTGTGGATGAGGTAGTAGCAAGATGCTAGGGTGGAGCTAGATATGAAGGGAGAGGCTGGGATTAAGAGCAGCAAAGGAGTGGCTGTTCTCGCACCCCGCTCTTTACTATAAGGTGTCAGGTTTTGGTTTTTTTTTTTACACTCTGAAAGGGGAAGGAATGGGAAAAGGAAGAGGGCAGCCCTTTTTCTTCCCCACCAACCTCCTTTATTCCCCATCAGCATGCTTCTGTGTGAGCCCATCCCCACCCCCCTTTTTCACTTTGAAAATATAAACAGTCTACAGCAGGGATCGGCAACCTCTGGCACGCAGCTCGCCAGGGTAAGCACCCTGGCCGGCCAGGCCGGTTTGTTTACCTGCCGTGTCCACAGGTTCGGCCGATCACGGCTCCCACTGGCCGCAGTTCACCGCTCCAGGCCAATGGGGGCTGCGGGAAGTGGCGCGGGACGAGAGATGTGCTGGCTGCCGTGTCCCGCCGCCCCCATTGGCCTGGAGCGGCAAACCACGGCCAGTGGGAGCTGTGATCGGCCGAACCTGCAGACACGGCAGGTAAACAAACCGGCCCGGCCCGCCAGGGGGCTTACCCTGGCGAGCCACGTGCCAAAGGTGCTGATCTCTGGTCTACAGAGAAGGGACAGAGGTGATGGCAATTGGGGCAGCTTGCTACTTTCAGCCCCACCAGTTACTCTGAGCACCAGGCACCACTGCTATGATGGATACAGAAGTCCTACATTTTTTCCCCCCATTACAAATTCAAATCCCGTCTAGGCTTGGCCTGGAAAGCTAGTGTAAGTGAAGACAAAGAGGCAAAGCCACATCTAACCTAGAAAAAGAGGCGATATTTAAAAACATTAGCTAACATGTTTTAAAAAATAGTATGGACTTAATTTAACCTCCTTTAAAAAAATGTTATCTGGCTATGTAACATTTTTAAACAACCTATTTCCTAGTGTAGAAAGGGCCCAAGAGAGCAAAAATTGAGCTGTTAGAGGGAAGAGATTTTTAGCAAGTTTTTAAAACTCTTGGCTCATTTTTCTTAACTATTTTACTCCAATGCCAAACTGACATTTTGAATAAAGGAAGCTTTGTTAATCATTAAGCACCCATACTCCTTTTGACTAAGGTATTAAGAGTTCACAAACAAGCCTTAGACATCTCATTTTTATATCCTGGTAGTTCCTAGCAACCAAAACTGGGACAGAGGAGCGCCCAATGTGCTAGACACTGTCACACATGGTAAAAGACAATCCTGCTCTGAACAGATGAGACAAAGGGTGGGAGAAAGTAATTATTTTTACCATTTCAAAGATATGGACGAGAATCTAATGTACAAAGTAAAGACAATTTCAGAATTAAGCCAGTAAGAAAATATTCAGTTCATTTTCATGCAGGTAACAACATATGAACTGAATACACACACAGAACCTGATTACATTACCTACTTAGCTCATAAGCCTGCGTAAGCATATCCCGCTCATAAACAATATCTACAGGCTGGACAGTTTTTGTGATCATCTCTTCCTCCTCATCATCATGGTAATCATCCACTTTCTTTCGAAATTCCTTCACCAGTTTGAGGCATCGGACCATGACATCAGTCCCTGAGAACACATGATACTACTGGTTAATAAAATAACTGAACAAAAATCTATGGGTGAAAAGGAGGGATCCACATGAAAAATAAGTTAATTCGTTTCTCTCAGCATTGACAAACAGAATGACATTCCAGTTAAGTAACTTAATGAATTACCACAAGTGGAAGTGGGCACTTGCATATGGGCCTGATGATAATTCTCACAGCCCTGAGGTTTTAAACGATGGATACAGATGGAAAGGTCTCCTGCTCACTTGCAAAGATAACTTAGGGTATCTCTAGGGTTCAAACAATGAAGTATTTGAGGGGATGTGAAAATGGTCCTATAAAAGGACATAATATGAAATTAGGGAACTTTTAACTATGTGCAGGAAGGTGTGTGAATGGTGATCCTGTGAGATACATCTCTTCAGAAAACCAATTTAAATTGCAGTGTCTCTTCAAAGACACTGTCCCTTTGCTCTGATAATCACCTAACAAATGTTTGGGTCTTCTAAAGAAAGTAATTAACTGTAATAATTTTATCTATCAAAATGTAATACCACCCTTGAAGATTTACAGCCCTTCTATTCTATGAAAACAATAGACTCAGGGAACCTGGTTACAAAACAGCTATCTTTTGAGCTGTTGTAATATGGTTAAAATGTATAATGTGGATGAAACATCACAGTGCTGGAACCACCAGGACTAAACCAACAGATTTGTTTCAGATTTTCCATGCAGACTTGGGAAAACGATGTGGCATTAGTCACAGTCATCAGAAGGCTCTCTTGATAACAATATATATGGACAAGAAACTCTTAAAAGTTTACCTTTTGCAGCCATGAAACAGTGGGAAACTTAGTACTGTGCATCTAGGGCAGGGGTTGGCAACCTTTCAGAAGTGGTGTGCCGAGTCTTCATTTATTCACTCTAATTTAAGGTTTTGCGTGCCAGTAATACATTTTAACGCTTTTAGAAGGTCTCTTTCTATAAGTCTATAATATATAACTAAACTATTGTTGTATGTAAAGTAAATAAGGTTTTTAAAATGTTTAAGAAGCTTCATTTAAAATTAAATTAAAATGCAGAGCCCCCTGGACCGGTGGCCAGGACCCGGGCAGTGTGAGTGCCACTGAAAATCAGCTCGCGTGTTGCCTTTGGCACGCGTGCCATAGGTTGCCTACCCCTGATCTAGGGAATGGTAAGATTTGTTAACACAAATGGCAGACTGAAAAATATTTGGGAAAAATACACACTGTGAAAATGGGTATTTGGTAGAAAATCTTTCCTGGGTCTAAAACTGATGCACATAAGGAATGATGACATTAGTACCTTACCTAATCATATCATAATCCCACTAATCCCTGGTTTATTATTAATACTCAATATATCCCTGGATTGGATAATGATTTCAGGTGAGTTGCGTTGTGTACTAACAAATTTATAACTTTATATATACACCTGAGATGCAAAGGAAGCTTTACCTTTAAACACTCTGCAATTTAAGATTTTGGTTAGTTTATACACTTGATGACATCAGTGCGTACATAATAAAGATGTGGCTGCAATTACCTTTCTTTGTTTTATAGGGTCCACCATCAGGGTGCAAGTCCTGTAACGGGGTAGATAATACTTTGGCCAGGCCAGCATTCATCATATATTGATACAGACGTTTGAATGTTCTTTCACAGAGACCCTACAATAACAGTAACAGTAAAGAGAAATGAAAAAGATGTCACTATTTTAAGGAGCATTCCCTACAAATCAGGAAGCTAACAGCAGCTAAACCCTTGACTTTCATAGAAAAGTAAACAGAAGCACATCAGGAACAGAAAGACGTTTCTGACTCAGTTACTATATGCCTCTAGCCCCTTGACCAGGACTTGAGATCCCACTTCTTCTCTTTCATTTACCTGGTTTTTAGTACCCGGTCGTCTTTCCCTGTCTACAAGCTCTCCACAATCTGTCTTGGAAAATAGCTTTCCCACTATCACATCTGCCTCTAATTACCATCCCTTGCCTCCTTTCTTCCACTGTGTTCAGTTTATTCAAATGTCCTAGACCTCAACTAAATCCTTCATTCCATTCAATCCTGCTTCTGCCCTCTCCATTCAGAACTGTCAAGATCAAAAATAATAATATATTACAAATGGAAGAAAGGGAAAGTTGATAGCAATGAATGTAAATCAGAAGCTAGGAATTGTAGAAAATTGATCAGGGAAGCAAAGGGACACAAGGAGAACTCTATGGCCAGCAGAGTTAAGGATAAGGAGGAGGTTTTTTTAAGTACATCAGGAACAAAAAGAATCCTAACAATGGCTCTGGTCCATTACTAAATGGAAATGGTAGAATTAATAATAATGCCAAAACAGAAGTAGTGTTCAATAAATATTTATGTTTTATATTTGGGAAAAGAACAGATGATGCAGTCATATGATCTGATAACACTCTTTCCATTCCGCTGGTATCTTAGAAGGATGTTAAACAGAAGCTACTAAAGATAGACATTTTAAAATCAGCAGGTCAAGATAACTTGCATCTAAGAGTTTTAAAAGAGCTGGCCAAGAAGCAGGCTGGGCCATTAATGCTGATTTTCAAGAAGTCTTAGAACAGGGAAGTTCCAGAAGACTGAAAGAAAGCTAATGTTGTGCCAATATTCTAAAAGGGCAGAAGGGATGACCTGGGTAATTTTAGGCCTGTTTTCCCCCACCGGTTCTCAATCTGCCAGTCTTTTCCTGTTCCTCCTCCCACCCACAACTTTTACTCCCAGTTTCTCTCCCCATCTGCCACCTTCCAAATCCCAGTCTCCCACAGGTTCCATGTCCCAGTTTACTCCCTCTGGTCTGGCTCTAGTCCCTTCTGCATCCAATTCAGAAAGCTTACGCCTTCATGATGCCTGGGCCCAGAAAAAGGAGCACCAAGAACACAGGCTCTTACTTCCAGTGCCTGGCTCCACCCCAGCCCAACCTGCATCAGCCAAGAATGGCAATGGCAGACAAAGCCCTGCTTAGCCCCTTCAGCCTGGGCAGGCGTATGCTCACTGCAGATGGAGTCTTTGGAGAACGTAGCTGTGAAGTTCCAACAAGTCTCTACTGAGTACATGTGGACTGAGATTTTTCAGAGGCTTAAAACCTGGTCAAATTTTAGTATATTTTCACCATAAGAGCAAAAAGCACTTCCCTGACACAAAGGCCACCCGCTTCTAAATGTCAAGTCCTTGCTCCAGAACATGGGGGCACTAGAGATTCTCAGAGAAATGTTGTTTATTTAATATGATAAACAACATTTTCCTTATACCTCATTCTGGGCAATGGCTGAGCCATTTTGTCTGAAACTTTCTAAAGTTTGTTTTGAATTAGACACCTGACACTGAAAATTTCAGCCTGAGAAGTTAAAGTCTGGAACTTAGAAGCAATGGAAAACAGGTCTGTTTAATGGGAAGTATTATAAGGTTGTCTGACACTTCTCATTATACAGACCAGTTCTGCTTGTAATGCTGAATTTTTGGATTTCATTAACAGCAAACTGAGAACTTGAAAGCAAATGATAATCTCACCAGTTCTTCCCTCAGATTCCCCAATGTTTCCATTTTGTTTGGTCGAGTGCTCAGCATACCTGAGAGCTTCTCCATAAGGATATCATATTTACTCCTCCTAAAACAAAAGAAAGTTATTCAACATATGAACTTCATGAGCACTGACTTTTACATCCAGAAATATCACAGAAAACGCTAGTTACCATCACGGAGGTAGACTGAGAAATAAAAAGCAAAGATTTTAGCAACATTTGAGGGGAAAATCAAGTTGTTTATGTTAAGGTCTTACAAAAAATAGATGTAATTCAATTTTTGAATAGTCTTTGAATTTGGACTCAAAACCCAACATTTCATTTGAGTTCCCTTTGTTTAAGATGTGCACTAATTTTGAAAAGTTGGGATCCCTACTGGTTATCCCCCTCAGAAACAGGGGCGCTGAATAAGTTTCTAAACCTTTTCCAATAGGCTGTTGGACTTCTTCAAAACTTCTCTAAAAGTTGATAAACCCCATATAGATTTCAGCAGAGCTTTTGAGCCACATTAGTACTTTACAAACATAGTGATGTATGCACAGTACCCAGATGACTTCCCGAAATTATCTCTACCCATCATATTCCCCATATCTTGATTTATGCTATCAATCCCTGGTTTGCCTCCTGGAAGCATGAAAACATGAAAAGCTTTCTGAAGTCCATGTAGGTTCAATGGTTCCTACTAACAGGCCTTAGTTACAGGACCACCTACTCTTTGTCAAACAATATTCAAAGGTTGGATGCTTATCAGATATAAAACTATATTTGATATAAACATTGTTTGTCATGGGAAACTGTAAGAAGTCATACTTTACAATTTTTTTTACCCATTTCATATTTAAAAGCCCACACTCTGTTACATTTGTCATATACAGAGTTGAATTTTTAAAAATTTATGGAGGAGTTCATTTCATTTACACACAGAGTGCTAGTTAGGGGAATGCCCTTCACCCATGTGAGCCAAACAGCAGATGCAAATATCCAATACCAGGAAGACAGTCAGACACACAAGCTGTTCTGAAGCCAGGCCTGCTGTTTCACTGCGACCAAGTCAAAGCCAGTGCAGGATATAACTATGCAACAGAGGAAAAGAGAGTCAGAAGTAAAAATTCACTAGAAGGCGCTGTAGAAGCTATCCAACAATAACACAGCTATTAAAACAATGTACAAGAAAAATCAGGTCTCTGTAGGACAAGACCTGGCAGCAGGATACCTACCATGCAAACCATGGCTGGAGGAGGGGCACACATCCTTTATATAACCTCTGTCTCTGAATGCTTAACCACTGTGAGGAAGCGCTAATTCAGCAACCAACAGGTACTGCTTCCAGAAAGTTTTGATGGTCCTATGGCACCAGGGCCATGTCCTAATGGTAAGAAACTACACATGCCACCCTGAAGAACCACCTAACTTCTGTTTGGTACATACCTGTCAACATGAAAGCGGTTCAAAAGCAGAAGAATGGAGTGCTGCTGGGCTCCACTTGGTAGTCTTATGACATGGGACTGCATTGAAATGAGACCATTTCTGTCTAATACTCTTCTGTGATAATGCATTTTACCAGCATCCACCCTAGAGAAGACAAGACATCCACAGAACCTCCCATGATGGCTTGTAAATAAATATAATAAACAAATTATATTCATATAGCACCCGTCATCCCAACGCCCTTTACAAATTTAAATTACTATACAAATTGCCTGTACAAACTTAATTCAGCCCTCTTGTGCATATACATTATGATAGTCTTATTACATCATCACATACCACTTTCTCCACGGAGCCTGATTCAGTGTACAGGAAATGAATCAGGGTAGTAACTGAATGAGGCTGTTGTCTATAAGACTCAGCCTCATTTGCTGCTGAAGTTAGTTGTATAATAAATGAGAAAAAATACTATTAGAAAAGAAAGGACGGTCTTATGGTTAAGGCAGCTGAATGTCACACTGAGAGATTGGATTTTATCTCCGCTTCTGCCACATGATGCTGGGCAAGTCACTTAAACCAAACTTTTCACAGGTGGCACTAACTGTGTTTTTCATTTTCTAGGTGCTTAACTTGAAACAACTGGGGTCTGATTTGCAAAAGTGCTGAGAAGTCATAGCTACAGCTGAACTCAATGGGAGCTGTGCTCTGAGTGTATGAAATTCTACAAAAATATTGATTGACAGAGCCAGACGAGTACCCAGCAGTCACCTTCTACAGGATAGGCCCACAGGGAAAGTGATGGGGCGCCACTGGCTGTTGCCTTCGGCCCCCAGCTGGAGCCTCTCCAGCGCATCATCGGGGATCTGCAGCCTGTCCTGAGGGATGATCCCTCACTCTCACAGATCTTGGGAGACAGACCTGTCCTCGCTTACGTACAACCTGAGGCGGGTGCTCACCAGCAGCCACGCATCACTGAATAAAGCCACTGACCCAGGAACCTATCCTTGCGGCAGAGCCCGGTGCCAACTCTGCCCACGTGTCTATTCAAGTGACATCATCGTGGGACCTAGTCGCATCGGCCATGCCATCGGGGGCTCGTTGACCTGCACATCTACCGATGTGATATATGCCATCATGTGCCGGCGATGCCCCTTTGCCATGTGCATTGGCCGGGCTGGACAGTTTCTGCGCAAAAGAATTAATGGACACAAATCTGACATCAGGAATCATAACATTCAAGGACCAGTGGGAGAGCACTTTAGCCTGTCTGGTCATTCAGTGACAGACCTGCGGGTGGCAATTTTGCAACAGAAAAGCTTCGAAAGCAGACTCCAACGAGAAACTGTTGAGCCTGAATTGATATGCAAATTAGATACAATCAATTTAGGCTTAAATAGAGACTGGGAATGGCTGAGCCACTACAGACATTGAATCTATCTCCCCATGTAAGTACTCTCACACTTCTTATCAAACTGTCTGTACTGGGCTATCTTGATTATCACTTCAAAAGTTTTTTTTCCTCTTACTTAATTGGCCTCTCAGAGTTGGTAAGACAACTCCCATCTTTTCATGCTCTCTGTACGTGTATATATATCTCCTCAATATATGTTCCATTCTATGCATCCGAAGAAGTGGGCTGTAACCCACGAAAGCTTATGCTCAAATAAATTTGTTAGTCTCTAAGGTGCCACAAGTACTCCTGTTCTTTTTGCAGATACAGACTAACACGGTTGCTACTCTGACACCTACAAAAATATTAAGTACTTCAAAAAATCAGTCCCCAAATGTCTCAAGATGGGCACCCAAAATAGACAATTATGACCTTCATCTCTCTGTGCCTGAGTTCCCTATTTGTAAAATGAAGGTAATCCCACCACCGTGTCTCACAAGGGTGTTGTAAAGATAAGTTCATTAATGTTTGTGAAGCACTCATATTATGATGGGCGCTTCATAGAAACACCCATGAGGAAATTAATAGTTCTGTATTCAATGCAGGGTTAGGATGGTCTGAGTGTTGCAGGAATGCGGAATTGGTCAGCGCTACACTCGGCTGATGCAGCAACTCCTGGTGTTGGACGCCATCACGTGGTCGAGGGACATCTACCTAGAACATATCACCCGACATTGGAAATACCAAGAGTGATGAACTGAAGTGCCAATTAGAAGCAAAGTGGGGAAAGTATCTGAAAACTTCCCTGATGGACTGTATTTTCTAAGGAACAACCTATCCTAATTTCTCAAATACTGAGGGACATTTCTGCCTAACTTAGGTTTGCATTTTAAATAAATATTAAATTTCTAGTCCTTATGGTTACAAAGAAAATCTTGTGAACATGAAAAGACTCTTTTACACCTTTCTAGGTCTGCAGACAGTTTCAGTGTCTGAGCTTCAGAAGTAGGGCCCTACCAAATTCATGGTCCATTTTGGTCAATTTCATGGTCATACGATTTTTAACATTGTAAATTTCATGATTACAGCTATTTAAATCTGAAATTTCATGGTGTTGTAATTGTAGGAGTCCTGAGGCAAAAAGGAGTTGGGGGAGGGAGGGGCGCAAGGTTATTGTGTGTGGGGATTGTGGTACTGCTACCCTTACTTCTGCGCTGCTGCTGCTGGTGGCGGCGCTGCCTTCAAAGCTGGGCAGCTGGAGAGTGGCAGCTACTGGCCGGGAGCCCAGCTCTGAAGGCAGAGCTGCTGCCAGCAGCAGCGCAGAAGTAAGGATGGCGTGGTATGGTATTGCCACCCTTACTTCTGCACTGCTGCCTGCAGAGCTGGGCCCTCAGTCAGCAGCCGTCACTCTCTGGCCGCCCAGCTCTGAAAGCAGGACAGAAGTAAGGGTAGCATGGTATGGTACAGCTACCCTTACTTCTGTGCTGCTGCTGGAGGAGTGCTGCCTTCGGAGTGCATCCGGCCAACAGCTGCCGCTCTCCAGCCGCCCAGCTCTGAAGGCAGCGCAGAAGTAAGAATGGCAATACCGTGACTCCCCTGCAACTTCCTTTTGGGTCAGGACACCCAGTTTGAGAAATGCTGGTCTCCTCAGTGAAATATGAATAGTATAGGTTAAAAGTACACAAAAGACCAGATTTCACCCGGGGAGACCAGATTTCATGGTCCGTGATGTGTTTTTCATGGCCGTGAATTTGGTAGGGCCCTAGTCATAAGCAGCAGGAACAGTGTGAAATTAATATGGATAGCAGCAGTAAAACTATAGAAAGTCTGCACATGACAAGAGCCATGCCAATTTCATGCTGCTGCTTGGCAAAACTAACAAAAACAGCAGAAGCAGGCAATTAAACTATTAATAAGGGTAAGAGGAAGGGATAGGAGACTAAAAAAATTGGAGTCTTGAAAAGAGGGGTAGAGTAGCAAAAAATGGGCTGGGTGGAACTTCAAGTTTTCCTATCTAGTAGCTGGAAACTAGTATAAAGGAAGCAGGTCCCAACCAGGATTCAGGTACAGCAGAAACCCCCGCACCATCCCCTTCATATCATCTGGGGGTAGGTGAAAGGGAAAGAAGCAGCAACTGGGCTTATTAAGTTGCACATCTGGACTTTGCAGCACTTCATCTTCATGTTTTGTATCTAGCTATAGCTATTAGGATCAGTCCTCCACATGAAAGTAATCCCTATATATAAGCAGGTTAGGATAGGAAATTAAAATACAATCTCCAACTGAAACTGCAGGAGGAATTTAAAGAAAGCATAAAGTAGTTAACCAAATGGGAATTTGGTAAAGACACAAGGTTAATAACTGTTTTGGTGAGAAAGTACCATGAAATTTAGTTACTACAAGCAGTAAGCTGGCATCTCCAGAAGCACAGGACCTGCAGAAACAAAGTGCCCACAGTACTGTGATGAGACATTCCTGATGAATGAAGCCTTGTCTGCAAGGCTTTGATTTACTTTATAAACAGCAACAAACTCTATACTTACTTGAAAGCCCCACTGTGAAGGTCTCTCTGAAGTTCCCCTTGCCATCTAGCACGACCTAATCGCTCCAAAATGCAGTAGGAGAAGTCTGGGAGTTTTAAGTCTGGATCCCCCTCCCAGCCAATTAAAGCCCTGTAGCGCAGAATCTGTGAAGCAACGATGACTAGTTTCTCCCCCCACCTACAAAGCAAACAGCAAGAGATGAGAGGTTAGTTTCCCAGAGCGCCTAAATTTAACCATTTCCCCAACTGCTTTCTTTTCTGAGCGAAAACGATTACTGAAGGGATTTCTTTGAAGTTGCACAAGGCTCAGCTGAAGATCTAGGACTTTCTCTCCCTCTTCATGATGGCACATAACACCCATTAACATTACAAACGATTAGCTGTAACTTCAGAAAAATACTTCACTAAGCACCGAGTTTGAAATTTAGGAAGTTGTCGATTGAACTGCCTGCCTGGCTCCTATCCAAACCTTTCCCACCTTCCTGATACAGAACTGAGATATGGTCTTGTTCTCAACCACTATCTCCATATAGGCTGAGGACAATTGCAACAATTCCATGATAGGCTTGATATTAGGTAATCGACATCAGCAATAACAAGAGGCGTGTTACTCATACTAGCCCTTTAAAGTAATAGAACTGCTTTCACAACACTGTTTTAAATGCTGAATTGAGGGATGGAAAGGATCAAATTATTTTTCAGGAAGCTAGTAAGCTGCTTAGGCCTGGTCTACACTTAAAAGTTAGGTCGACATTGCTACAGCACTCAAGGGTTCCGAAAAATTCACACTGTAGATGTAGCTAGGTTGACGGAAGAATTCTAGCTTCGGGCATGGTAGGAAGTGTCTACAGCATTGCACTAGAGCAGCATAGCTGCAGTGCTGTAGCACAGACATGGGCTTAGTGAGCAGCATTAAAAGAAGTAACCTTGCAGCAGGAACTGGTGATGGAGCTTTAGTTATAACAGGAGCAGTGCACATACAAAATGATTAACTGCTAGGTGCGTATTATACAGCCTACATGCTCTCCAAGTGCTGATAATGCAGCACATCAATAGAGAAATGTAAGAAGTTCCAGAGCAACTTGTTTAGTCATGTTTTTAACATTGAATAGTGGTAGCATTACTAAATACATGTTTGTTTTACTCCAAACAACTGTCAAAGGAAAGCCTAGACTTCTCCACTGTATTACCAGGGATATGTAGTACCTTGGCAGCACTGAGATCTGAGAGCTAATTTAAAAGAGAAAAACTTCAAAAGCCTGGTTTGAAAATCTATATATCTGGTTCCAGGCTAAATTTCACAATTGTTAAAATGGAGAGAAGCCAAGCTGACGGTAGGCCAGACAAAGGGTTTGGGAGGCTCAGTGCAGACAGAATATTCAGATGTTTAACCAGCAAGCTTCAAATGATTTCTCTTGTTTGAGTACAAGATTTTCCCAAGGATTTATAGTTTGGCCAAATAGGGCCAGAGTTCCATGAGGACAGAAAAAGATGCTTCTCGGTCCTCCTGCCAAATTTCAGATTCTTGTTCCAAACCACAGGTGTGCTAGAATGCTTTTAACATTTTTTTCTGACCATTTTTGAAATACTTATTTTCCCCAAACTTCCTCAGAAACTTTTACTTGAAATTTCTAAAAAAAAAGGTGACCTGAGATAGACACCAAACAACCCAAAGTGGGTGAGATCATATATTTATTGGACCAACTTCTGTTGGTGAGAGAGACAAGCTTTTGAGCCAACAGAAGTTGGCTCAATAAAAGATATTACCTCACCCACCTTGTCTCTCTAATATCCTGGGATTAACACAGGTACAACTACTACACCAAATAGCCCATACGGTTGGTAAATTTCAGCATAAACAGTTAAAGTTTGGCAACAGTATAAACAACTGAAAGTGGAATTATAATGACAAATGTTAGGTTAATAGATTCATAATTAGAACCCCTATAATGGTAGAAAACATGACAGCTTGTATAAGTGCTATCTGGATGGGGAAGGTACAAATGTCTACAATTATTTGAAGACTGCAGACACCAAAGAGGAAGAGCAATTATTTAGGGTGAAACAGGGCAAGAAATAGGCAGCAGAGTTTACAATAATTGGAATGCAAGACCAACGGATGCATTTGGATCTGATTAAGAAAGCTTAGTCACTCATATATGCCTTTGATGGATGTGGTGAAGGAGAGATAGCTTGAAACCCCATGCCTCTGAAAATCTCAGTGTACATTTTTGGAGGATGCACAAGCATTTTGTCTACAGCTGCAACATAAAATCAATGTTATATTGAAAACAATGGTTTCTTTACAGAGACTTTCCTCCATTGATTTATATGTATCTAATGCAGCAAAATAATGGCAAATTAAATCATGGAGCCAGCAGGGCTGTAAATATTGTTTAAAAAGTTAACCGTTTAAATGATTACAATTATATCATTTAACTGGTTAACCAATTAAAGGGAGAGGTCACAGCCTGCGCGGCCTGGGGTGGCTCCGGCCGGCGCAGCCCAGGGTTGGGGGTTAACGGTAAGACTAATGCTTACCAGTTAACTGTTTAATATTTTACATCCCTAGGAGCCAGGCTCAGCTCTCCTTAAAAGGAGCTGTTTCCAAATAGCAAAGCATTGTAATTTAAAATGAAACACCAACAAATACTGAAATCTTCTTACTCACTTTTCATAGGCTTCTGTATAGGCATAACAAGGCTGCAAATCCTTTGTCCTAATTTGATCAGTATAATTTAGTCTCTCCTTAAAATATTGGCATGAACCCTGAATGCCATCCTTATTATCCAAAATCATATGGACAGGATAAATATCATCTAGAGGGACAGGATCTCTTTTTGTTTCCAGTATTCCTGTTTCAAGATCTATTTCTTCATACCTGAAATAAAAATGCAAAGGGAGCCAGTATTTAAAATTGTAACATTCACGAGACAAAAACAACTTAAAAGCTGAATTTAAGGTTGCTGCTACATTTCAACGGATCTCCAACAAATGTCTTGGAAGAAACCTAGAACTAAAAATCCTTCAAATCTCAAAAGTTAGAAAGCCAGGAAATGCAGAATTAGTGTTGCACTTCTCAAACAAGGAATCCAAATACACCTCTACCTCGATATAACGCTGTCCTCGGGAGCCAAAAAATCTTACCGCGTTATAGGTGGAACCGTGTTATATCGAACGTGCTTTGATCCACCGGAGTGCGCAGCCCCGCCCCCCCGGAGCGCTGCTTTACCGCATTATATCCGAATTCGTGTTATATCGGGTCGCGTTATATCGGGGTAGAGGTGTATGTCAACATTCAGAGCATAATGCAAAGGCTTTTTCTGAGGAGATGGGAGCAAACAAAGAGAATTTTTAGCATAAGTGTGTCAGGAGGGTAATATGCACACTGGCCTTGCTGAATTTTAATGTACTTTTATTGATTTGCACACATACCACGAGTTTTAGACAAGAACACTGAACTAATGCAGCACTTGACACTTTTTCAATACTTTTCAAAAAAAGTTGCAATGCTTATTTTCTGATTATTTTGCAGTAAGACAATCACGTACAGAAGCTAAGTTTTTTATATTAATTTTGATTTATTTACAAAACCATTAAAATAGTGCAATTCACAAATTATTTCTAGTTTTATAGTTTTTGACAAATACAGGAGAGAGTTGTGAGAGTTGTGGGCCATATTAGTATACAAAACTTATATTTAGTAACAATTAAGGTTGCAACAGCCTATACCCCACACATGCTTTCTTTTCCATCTTGCCCACAACACTGTAAATAACCCATTCCAGTGCTCCATAAAGCTTTCATTTCTCTCTCCACCAGATACCCAAAAGTAATACATACCACAGCTTTATCAAACTTTAATTCAAATGCAAAACCTTAAGCTACCTCATCTGCTTTTATAAAACTGTATCAAAAGATCAGTAAATCTGACTATCACATATTGCATGCATTCGGGACATTATTCTGCCTTAACACTGCAAGGTTACTGTTAAGATGGTTAATCATGCCATCCCTCCACACAGATCAGCAGCCCCCTGACCTTCATATCCCTAGCTTAGGTTATTTGAATTACACGAGTAATTATTAGCTCCTTTCCAGACCGGGCACTGGATAACGACTTGAGACAATTTCCCACTGGTTTACACAACTGTGTAGTAGACAGCAGCAGAATCCTGTATTCCAGGGGTTCTCAAACTGGGGATTGGGACCCCTCAGGGGGTCGAGAGGTTATTACATGGGGGGTCACGAGCTGTCAGCCTCCACCCCAAACCCAGCTTTGCCTCCAGCATTTATAATGGTGTTAAAATGGGTCGCACTCAGAGGCTTGCTATGTGAAAGGGGTCACCAGTACAAAAGTTTGAGAACCACTGCTGTATTCTATGCATGCTTGGGAGAGGAGTCATGCTGCAAGGCAGAATGGTACAGTGGATAAGACTGGGGTTTGTCATGTTAAATACCTGGGTTTTGGGCCTGCAGTGATCTTGCATAAGCTCGCTCCTTAATTTTAAAAAAAAAAATTTTAAATAGGCAGGAATGTTCAGCAGCTCTTCTTTAACTATCTCCTATGTTTGGATTCATAGCCTTAGTCAATAAAAGCAAATTGCATGGGAATTAATAGCATTTAGAAAAGGTGAGATTCTGGGAGCTTTCCCGTAGGCAGACAGGTATGTAGTGTCTTTCTTTCCCAAAAGTTAATGATAGCGTTCACACCACAACATTTATTTTTTGTTGTTGAGTTAAAAATAAATAACTTCAGTTTGGTACACTTATTTGATGTTACGGCAAAAAAGTTACAGTAAAACACACTTTACAAACACTACTGACATATAACTGCTATTCTAGGTACAGTAGAACCTCAGAGTTCTACTGTACGTCGGGAACGGAGGTTGTCTGTAACTCTGAAATGTTCCGTAATTCTGAAGGGACTTCAGCCACATGGGGGATTGGGGCTGCAGCAGTGGAGGGGTGTGTGTGGGGGGGAGGGGCGAGATGGGAGGTGGGGTGGTCAGGACTCTGGGGGAGGGTCGTGGTTTCTGAGCGTTGGGGCACCAGGACCCCGGGCAGGGGGCTCAGGGCTTTTGCCACGCGGGAACATGGGGCTCAGCGCTTTAGGCCTGTGGGGAGTGCTGGGGCTCAGGGCCTTAGCCCTGCAGCTCCGTTCCTAGCTTCAGCGCCGCTGGGGTTTGGGGCTCCCCCCGGCACCTCTCCCAGCTTCAGAAGGGGGGAAGGGGCACTGGGACTCGGGGCTTTAGCTACTAGGGGAGCCTTGGGCCTGAAACCAGCGCTTCCCTCACAGCTAAAGCCCCAAGTCCCGATGCCCCCTGCGGGGCTGAAGCTGGGAATAGAGCTGCGGGGCTGAAGTCCCAAGCCCCAGCACTCCCCCCTGGTCTAAAACCCTGAGCCCCACTGCTCCCATGGGGCAGAAGCCCCAATGCACCCCCTTCATCCTGCCCAGAACCCTGCCCCCATGGCTGCAGCCCCAACCCCCTGTGACTGAAGCCCTGAGTACAGAATTTGCTCTCTCTCTCTTTTTTTTTTTGGTCTATGCTGCTGTCTGATTGAGGACTTCCGGTTCCACAAGGTGTTCGATTGACCAGTAAGTCCATAACTCTAGTGTTCGTATCTTTGAGGTTCTACTGTATCAGCACATGAGTAGCAAGAATGTGGTCAAAGGATAGGTCCAAGAGTGTTTTAGATTTCTTACAAAACGAGTACAAAGAAAAGGGAGACACTTCCCAGCAAAACATCTATTTTTCAAGAAATAGTTATAAGTGGCAATCAGACTCTTCCTGCAACAGGTTAACATGCAAGACTTGCCTGTGAAAGACAAGCGAATGCCTTACACAATTTCAGAAGGAATGCATCCCACCTCCACAAAAAGGTCAAGAAAACTTTCTGCAGACTGAGCATTCACAGGGATGGATCCTCTTTACCAAAGACACCCTTTAGACATAATTAGGCATCTCTCTTCACCACCCAACAAAAGGTGACAGGACTTCCTTTACTGCAAAGCCCTTTTCACTCTGAAAATGTGAAAAAAACTTCTTGTCAAGAGGATGGACACAGAGCAGGGAGAGCAGAGAGGAAGGGGAAGCAGGAGGTGAAGTTCCTGCTGTATTTCAATGACTCTCCAAGCACATGCCTTACAAGCCTACACAACCAATACCTAGAAGGGGAGGCAGCCAGGAAACACAAAGCAAGTACTGCCCTTTTCCAGCCAAGCCCACACTTGGTGACAGTCACAGCTCAATGCAAGGCCAGCTCTTCCTTCAGGCAGGCTTTCCTGATGACCTAGGGCAAGGCCATGTTTGCAGAAGAGCATCACACTGCCAGGTAGGACATGCCTCCTACTGGTCTACGCTGCTGCCTTAGGATTGAGGATGGGCCACTTGTGCATGCCCTGTGCGCCTCACCCACTACACGTCCCACCCTGCTAGCCCCACAGCCCACCCATTTCACCCCCTACCCTGCCAGTTCCACCCCACATCCAACCCATGTTCCCTCTAATTTTTTACATCCATGTGCGGAATGAATTTTGTTATGTGCACCAATATGGAGGTGATGTGTGGCGGGGGTGGGGCTGAGGGGTTTGGAGTGTGGGAGGGGGCTCAGAGCTGGGGCAGAGGGCTAGCGTGCGGGGGGGGGAGGTGGGCTCTGGCTGGGAGTGCAGGCTCTGCAGTGGGGCTGGGGATGAGGGGTTTGGGGTGTGGGAGGGGGCTCAGGGCTGGGGCAGAGGGTTGGGGTGAGGGCTCTGGGAGGCAGGCCAGGGATGAGTTTTTGAGGGTGTGGGAAGGGGCTCAGGGCTGGGGCAGTGCGCTGGGGTGTGGGCTCCAGCTGGGGGTGCGGGCTCTGGGGTGGGGCTGGGATGAGGAATTTGGGGTGCAGGCTGCCTCTGGGCTGGGGCCAGAGGACTCCCCCCAGCCCTCTCCCCGGCAGCAGGAGCCCTGGGGCCAGGGGAGAGACCCGCGGCACCCCTGCAAACCCCAACTTGCTCCCCGCCAGGCCCCTGTGCCTGCGTGGCCCTTTATAGCTTGCTGCGCAGCTTAGGGGGAACTTAGCACCCAACCCTCACCCACTTCACCTCCCCCGTGCCAGTCCCACCAGCCCACCCTAACCAACCAACCCCCCCAAAAACACGCTCTGCCAGTCGCACCCTAACCAACCAAACCCCCTTCCACACACCCTGCCAGCCCACCCTATACCCACACCCACTTCACCCTTGGCAGCCCCATCCCTACATCCCACCCATTTCACCCGTGACCAAATGCACCCCTGTATTCACACTCTACACATCACTGTAATAATCTTTGTATAAAATATGCCTTGTAAGGTATCATTTGAAAACTAATAACTCGGTCAATATCCTCATGGTGCAATGCAAGTAGCAACATTATAAACATAAGCTGAAATCATGACTGAAGTGTGTTTATCAGACAAGTCTGGGGAGAGTAAACCTGATTCTCAAAGACAAAGGACAAACTGATGCCTCTAGCCAGGTGTCATCAAAGCCGATGGGCAATCACCTATCAAGTGGCCATTCTTTGGCAAGGAAGCAGGGGGCGGGAGACGGGGGACGGACTGGGACGGGGAGGGGGGGGAGAGATGGTGGATGGACAGGAACAAACAGATCTGCTTCTTAGCAAACAGCAGCATCGAACCTGTACCACCATCAGCCTCTTTGTCTTGGTCCTCATAACAGAAATGAACTTTATCTAGGGGTAACCCTCAGGAAAATACAATTTCAAAGGGCGACTGAACTATAAAAGTGAGGGGCAAAAACACCTCAAGTTCTTTCTCCCTATCCATCTCTCTCCTTTTCACCTAAGAGGCCAAAAGAAACAGCTGTTGGAGTTTGGGAGCAGATCCTGTCCTGAGAGTTTGGTCAGCAATGTTACTGAAAACACGTTTGTTAAGGTTAGTACTAAGAAGCATGTTATATGTATTTCTCTTGTAACCATTTCTGACTTATGCCATACACTTGTACTCACAAATTATCTGCTTGTAGTTAAATAAACTAGTTTTATTCTTCAATTAAAACTAATCCAGCGTTGTGAATTGTCTGGGTAACTTCATTTAAGGTAGCAAACTGTTGCAAATTGATTCCCCCTAGAGGGGGATGGACCTAATATATGTGGACTGTACGGGAGAGGGCTGGACAGTGCAGAACACACATTTTTGGGGGAAACCAAACTGTGTGTCTTACTAATCTATTAGAGTTCTTTGAAGGGGTCAACAAACATGTGGACAAGGGGGATCCAGGGGACAAAGTGTACTTAAATTTCTAGAAAGCCTTTGACAAGCTCCCTCACCAAAGGCTCTTAATAAATTAAGTTGTCATGGGATAAGAGGGAAGATCCTTTCATGGATTGAGAACTGATTAAAAGACAGGGAACAAAGGGTAGGAATAAATGGTAAATTTTCAGAATGGAGAGGGATAACTAGTGGTGTTCCCCGAGGGTCAGTCCTAGGTCCAATCCTATTCAACTTATTCATAAATGATCTAGAGAAAGGGGTAAAAAGTGAGGTGGCAAAGTTTGCAGATGATACTAAACTGCTCAAGATAGTTAAGACCAAAGCAGACTGTGAAGAACTTCAAAAAGATCTCACAAAACTAAGTGACTGGGCAACAAAATGGCAAATAAAATTTAATATGGATAAATGTAAAGTAATGCACATTGGGAAAAATAACCCCAACTATACATACAATATGATGTGGGCTAATTTAGCTACAACTAATCAGGAAAAAGATCTTGGGAGTCATCGTGGATAGTTTTCTGAAGACATCCACGCAGTGTGCAGTGGCAGTCAAAAAGGCAAACAGGATGTTAGGAATCATTAAAAAGGGAATAGAGAGTAAGACGCAGAATAGCTTATTGCCCTTATATAAATCCATGGTACGCCCACATCTTGAATACTGCGTACAGATGTGGTCTCATCTCAAAAAAGATATGGCATTAGAAAAGGTTCAGAGAAGGGCAACTAAAATGATTAGGGGTTTGGAACGGGTCCCATATGAGGAGAGATTAAAGAGGCTAGGACTTTTCAGCTTGGAAAAGAGGAGACTAAGGGGGGATATGATAGAGGTATATAAAATCATGAGTGATGTGGAGAAAGTGAATAAGGAAAAGTTATTTACTTGTTCTCATAATATAAGAACTAGGGGCCAGCAAATGAAATTAATGGGCAGCAGGTTTAAAACAAATAAAAGGAAGTTCTTCTTCACACAGCGCACAGTCAACTTGTGGAACTCCTTGCCTGAGGAGATTGTGAAGGCTAGGACTATAACAGCATTTAAAAGAGAACTGGATAAATTCATGGAGGTTAAGTCCATTAATGGCTATTAGCCAGGATAGGAAAGGAATGGTGTCCCTAGTCTCTGTTTGTCAGAGGGTAGTGATGGATGGCAGGAGAGAGATCACTTGATCATTACCTGTTAGGTTCACTCCCTCTGGGGCACCTGGCATTGGCCACTGTCGGCAGACAGGATACTGGGCTGCATGGACCTTTGGTCTGACCCAGTACGGCCATTCTTATGTTCTTAACCCAGGCCTGGGAGTGTGTTGGGGTCACCATGCAAGTGGAAACCAGGCTGTGTCTGATGTGTGACTGGCAGGTTGTAGCCATACCCAGACACTCAGGGTGTTACCTGCATACTGGAAGAATGTGAGTAGCCCAGGGGGAGGTATAGCAGCAAAGCATTCTGAGGCACCCAAGTCTGCAGGGCAGGGGTGACACAGCCTCTCACCGGTTTGGACTGCACCCCTGAATGTCATAGCCCCCCCCTTTGCCGGCCCCACCCCAACTCACTCTACGCCCCACCCCCTGCCCTACCCTCACGGCCGCCCCTCACCGATCGTGCAGGCGGAGAGGGGGCCGCTCCCGCGGTAACAGGTAGAAGCTGAGGCCGGGCTGGGCGCTCAGCGCAGCCCACAGGAGCTGCTGCGTGGCGGGCTCCAGGGCCAGCGGGAAGGGCGGGACGCGGCTGCTCAGCCGGTGCCATAAAGTGTCCAGCGTGATCCCATCCAGACCCTCCAGGGCCACCTCGTCCAGCAGAGCCCACAGCGCCTCCATCCCGCCGCCACTCACTACGCCTGCGCCGCCACCCTCCCGACAGACCCTACGCCGATTCGATGAGCTCTACTGCGCCTGCGCGTCCTCATTTTGCGTCACAGAGTCGCTCCGGAAGTGAGGTTACCTAGTCGCGAGTCGCGACGGTAACCAAGGGAACCGGTAAACAGGGAGGGCGGCAGAGCTGTCGGTGTCGCGGCTGGCGGGAAAGAGACACGGTACGGGGCGGGCGGGGAGGCTCCGGGGTGAAGCAGCGGAGGAGAGGGGACGGGGTGCGGAGGGGAGGCTCCGAATGGAAGGCGAATTACTGGCCTGGGGTGAGCGGGGAGGACGGGATTGGGGGAGCGAGGGGAAGGATGCCGGCCGGGATGGGGTGCGGGGAGACCCGGCCGGGATGAGGAGGGAGGCCCGCCGGTGGGCTCTGGTGCTTGTGCGATGAGGGGCTCCGGCCGCAATGTAACAATGTTTGTTCTGGCCCCAGCCCGCCATTGCCCCGGAACAGCGGTCGGTGTTCAGCTTAAAAACCCAGGCTGAGGAGTTGGGTCTTCGCCTCTGCCCCAAACAGCAGCTTTCCAGGGGCTCTTACAAGCCCGTCTCCTGCCTGCAGACATTTCAAACAGCGCTGTGCGTTTAAATTAATATCGACATGGAACGAAGGAATGTCTCTTCCGCAGCTCCCATTGGCCGGGAACGGCGAACCGCGGCTACTGGGAGATGCGGGCGGCTGTGCCTGCAGACGGCCGATGTAAACAATCTGTCTCGCGGCCGCAGGCGGATTAACCTGACGGGCTGCAGATTGCCCACCACTGTTTTAGAGGTTATGTGAACAGGAGAAAAAAGAGGTTTTTTCCCCCTTTGCATTAGAAATTCAGGTCTTATGCATGTCTACACTACAATCTTAAGTCTTCCTAGGTAAGGTCGACTTACAGCCACTGCAGTAATGACTGTGGTGGCTGATGTCCACACTGTCCTCCTTCTGTTGGTGGTGTGCGTCCTCACCAGGAGCGCTTCCACCGACTGAAGAAGGGCAGTGTGGGGGGCTGAGAGCCCGGGCTTTCAGCTCTGCGCAGCTTCCCGCCGGGCTACTCACCTTCCAGTTCCCCATTGGCAGTGGGGGGAAACCACCTGGGGTTTATCATCTCCAGCAGGGAGATCCAGAGTGTCTGGTCGGCTGCTGTGCTCCTGGCAGGGAACCAAGAGCCCAGAGGGGCAGCCAGGTTCTGAGCTGGGAACGATGATGCAGCCGGACTCCCTGCTGGGAGCAGAGAACCAGGACACTGGAGGGTAGAGGGGCTCTCAGTGGGGAGCCGGGGCTCTGGGGGGCAGCAGGGCTTCCAGTGGGGAGTCCAGCCTGCAGCCCAAGCTGGGAGCCTGGCTGGCAGCCCAACTTGGAGTGGAGACAGGACAGCAGCAGAGGTGGGGAGTCAGGCTTTCTTGTAAATTTCATGGCTCTGAGTAGCATGGAGCTGTGAAATTGACAAGACAACCAACAGCCCATGTAAGTAATGCAGTGTCTATATTGACACTGCATCACCCTAACTACACCGACATAAGCCCTACGCTTCTCATGGAGGTGAAGTTATGATGTTGGTGTAGTAGGGCGCTTACATCAGCATGAGCAAGGCTGTAGTGTGTACAATAGTTGCCTTATGTCAATCTAACTGTGTAGTGTAGACCAGGCCTAAGATGTCTTTTCTAGAAGATTGAGTGGATAACTAATGAACTGGGGAGATCATATTCACAGATACCATGCAGGCTAGCAAAGTCAAGAATATATTGTTTATTTTTGATATGAAACTATATAAAATCCTTATTTCAGTGTGTAAATTAAGCTTTTCAGTGTTATGCGTCTGATGAAGTGGGTATTCACCCACAAAAGCTTATGCTCCAATACCTTTGTTAGTCTATAAGGTGCCATAGGACTCTTTGTCGCTTTTTACAGATCAAGACTAACACGGCTACCCCTCTGATACTTTTCAGTGTGTAAGTAGTCAAGTGGTTTATGTGCATATAGAGGCTGAAGGGAGTAAACTTTTTATTTTATTGACATGTATTGGAGATGCATCAGGAGTATCACCCTGGACTGTAACTGTTGAGAGAGGCCTGGTAACTTGAAATATGTTCTTGTAATCTGTATTCAACTTTCAGCCTGAACCCTAGCTTCTGCCTTATTGCATCCTTCATGTTGCACATCTCTTTAAACCTCCTTAGAAAGAAACACAATATATATTGCATCATTTCAAAGGGAAGTACTGGTTCCCTCTGACAGCCAAGTCTGAGAGAAATGGGCAGCATTTAAAATGAAGTTTACTTTACGGGCCTGAACTGGAAGCTGGTTTAAGCGTCCCAGTTTATTTTCTTAGGAATTTAAGAAGAGAAACAAAGTGGTGTTGTGGGGGTGGAGGGTTGCTACTGCCTCCACTCCCCAATGAGCTCCTTTCCAAGTTGTAATGCTACAACTACTTTTAGCTTTCACTTTCAATTGGAAAAACAAAGCTAGGTGTTCAGTATCTTCTTTTAATTATAAACCAAGTTGTAATTGGCTGCTGGACCACAAACTGCTGCTGAAATGTTAGCATTTATAAACTTTTCTCTACTGATTTGTTTTACTCTTCTGCTAGTGTATGTTTCCTAGTTGAAGAATACTTTGCATAACCTCTTAATTCTTCCCCATTCCAAAGTAATTGTTTTATAGTTTAAAAATGAAACAAAAACACTGTAAGTAAATGAGATAATAAAATAACTCAGAAAGATTTCTCTAATAACAATAAGAGACATTGGGGTATGAATTAGTTTGCCTCATAATACACATGAGCTCACCAGCTTGTAAAAGTATATGTTTGTGTATTTTCAGTAGATGTTCTAAACAATCTCACATTTTCTGTTCTGAGGACCAATTCAGTTCTTATTAAGTCAGTGGAAAGACTCAGATTGACTTCAGTGGGAGTTGAATCAGTCCTGATTAGTTGCTATGTAACACTGACAGACTCCAGTTGTCGTCGGGTGGGATCGAACCTGGGATCTCTGGGGCTAAATGCATCAGCCAAAAGTCATGTGGCTGTTAGCAGACCCATTAATCTTTTTCTCTAAGTGGTCTCAGTGCTATTAGATGGGACAGAACACCACACGCAGGCGGTGTGTGGGTTACAGCTACATGCTAAGATTCCACTGGGAACTGTAAAATACAAATCAGACTACAAAGTCCTTATACTGTATTGTCAATTGAGATAAAATACAACTGTTTTTCAAGTTTAGAATTGTGAAAATATTTCTGGTGCTTCCTTTTTTGTTTACTATAAATTCAGTGTATTCGATTCACTGTTTGGTTTTATGAAAACTCCTATGTTAAAGCAGCAATTAAACAATACATTCTTGCAAAGTAGGCCAGTAATGTGAGTTATTTTAAGAAAATACACTGTGCAATAACAAGTGTGAATTATTTAATTCACGCCTTGCAAATTGAGAAATCTCATAGTACACAGAGGAGGAAAAGATCTGTTAGTTAACAGCTTGTATATATTGTCTTTTGTTATTCCCCTTTCCCTGAAAGTTGTTTACTTATTTGTCCTTAAATTCTGCATCCCCTTGGAGCAGGGATGTTACTTCTTAAGTGTTTGGAAGGCATCTCACACATAGTGGGCAGTACTCCAAATAAATCATTACTTAGGCTATGTCTACGCTACAGCTTATGTCGGCATAATTTATGTCACTCAGTGTGGCGACGAAAAAGGAAGGAGACAGAAAGCCAGGTTATGGTAGCCGAAAAGCCAAAAAGCCTCAAAAGCCTCCCAGGAAAACTTTCCTGGGGTTTTTATTCTTTCTACCTCTCAGCTTACAACACTTCTAAGTGGTTGAATTCTTGCGCATAGAAGAAGCATACAGTGTACAGCAACATGAGATAACAAACCCATCTCTTGTGCACGTGAAAGCCAGCTGCGAGGGAGACAATCAAGTCAGCCAAATAAGTTTCCTAATCACAAACGCTGGGGTGAAGGTCACTCCTGCCTCGTAGCCCCAAACACAGTGTGCCGCATCTGTGGGCTGGCGATTCGGGAGCTATGCGTCCCTACAACTCAAGGTTCAGGGGGTGAATAAATCACCCCCCCCCAAGACAGATGTTTACACCAACATAAGCTCGGGTGTGAACAGTGGCTTCTCCTGCTGACATAGCTACGGCTGGAGAGCACTCGTTGGGGCTGGAGTAGTTAAGCCAATGGGAGAGCACTCTCTCATCAGTTTAGAACAGCTACATTAGAGAGCTTACAACAGCTCAGCTGCATTGGTGCAGTTGTGCCACTGTAAACTCGCTAGTGTAGCCGTGCCCCTAGTCTATCTCTTTAGGAGGTAGTGCAGCATTGTTTTCTTTGTTTCCTCTGTTGAGGGTTTTAATGTTCTTCAACATTAGAATATAGCCTTCTTCTTTATTACTGATGCTAGGAGAGTAATCTTTGTGTTTTGAACCCTTTCCTTACTCCACTACTCCAGTTATATTTTCTTGTTTCAGGTTTACACTAAGGACATGGTGACTGACTTTGATGAGAAGCATGATGAATATTTAATATTACTTCAACAAAGAAACCGGTAAGATGCAAGGTCACCAGCACTTTTCATATTATGGAAACTGGGCTAATGCTTGTATTTATTAACAGAGTATAAAAGTGGACAGTGGTGCAGAGTCTGGGTAGAGGGAGAGTGTCAAACTCTGGGCTGCAGCCCAAGCAGGAACATCTAGACCAGGTGTTCTCAAACTGAGGGTCAGGACCCCTGAGGGGGTCCTGAGGTTATTACATGGGGGAATCGTGAGCTGTCAGCCTCCTCCCCAAACCCCGCTTTGCCTTCATCATTTATAATAGTGTTAAATATATAAAAAAGTGTTTTTAATTTGTAAGGGGGGGGTCACACCCAGTGGCTTGCTATGTGAAAGGGGTCACCAGTACAAAAGTTTGAGAACCACTGCTCTAGACTGTTATTTTTGCTCCCATGGCACAAGCTGGAGTCAGTTGACCCGGGCTCTGAGA